TTATATGGTGGGGCCTCTTCAGCGCGCATCACCTCCTCCTCTGGTGACATTCCGAAATCTTTGCCCTCTGGCCAGTCCATGATGACTTCTAGAATGCCTGGACGACTGGGATTTCCTATTCGAGTTCGTTGTGTAATTAGTGCAGCCCATTTACTCCATGTAGCATCGGTTGCATGATGTGTAGAGGAGACCCTGCCTTTGAACATCCAGCCCAGCACGGGCAGCCGGGGTGCCAGAAGGAGCTGTGCTTCAGTGCCAATCACTTCCGAAGCAGCTCGAACCCCTTCATAGGCTGCCAGTATTTCTTTCTCAGTTGGGGTATAGCTGGCCTCAGATCCTTTATATCCCCGACTCCAAAAGCCGAGGGGTCGACCTCGAGTCTCCCCTGGAGCTTTCTGCCAGAGGCTCCAGGTAGGACCGTTCTCCCCAGCTGCAGTGTACAGTACATTTTTTACATCTGGTCCGGTCCGGACTGGTCCAAGGGCTACTGCATGAACTATCTCGCGTTTAATTTGCTCAAAGGCTTGTTGCTGCTCAGGGCCCCATTTAAAATCATTCTTCTTCCGGGTCACATGATAGAGAGGGCTTACAATCGAACTGTAATTTGGGATGTGCATTCTCCAGAACCCCACTGCACCCAAGAAAGCTTGCGTTTCTTTCTTATTAGTTGGCGGAGACATTGCTGTTATCTTGTTGATCACATCTGTGGGGATCTGTCTACGTCCATCTTGCCATTTTATTCCCAAAAATTGAATCTCCTGTGCAGGTCCCTTGACCTTACTCCGTTTTATGGCAAAACCGGCTTTCAGCAGGATTTGGATTATTTTCCTCCCTTTCTCAAAGACTTCTTCCGCTGTATCGCCCCACACAATAATGTCATCAATGTATTGCAGGTGTTCTGGAGCTTGCCCCTGTTCCAGTGCAGTCTGGATCAGTCCATGGCAGATGGTAGGGCTGTGTTTCCACCCCTGGGGCAGTCGGTTCCAAGTGAACTGGACACCCCTCCAAGTAAAAGCAAACTGTGGCCTGCACTCTGCTGCCAAAGGGATTGAGAAAAATGCATTGGCAATATCAATCGTGGCATACCACTTGGCTGCCTTTGACTCTAGTTCATACTGAAGTTCTAGCATGTCCGGTACGGCAGCACTCAATGGTGGTGTGACTTCATTCAGGCCACGATAGTCTACTGTTAGTCTCCATTCTCCATTAGACTTTCGCACTGGCCATATGGGGCTATTGAAGGGTGAGCGGGTCCTGCTGATCACCCCCTGACTCTCCAGTCTACGGATCAGCTGATGGATGGGAATCAGGGAGTCTCGGTTGGTGCGATATTGCCGCCGGTGCACTGTTGTGGTCGCAATTGGCACTTGTTGTTCTTCAACTTTCAGCAACCCCACAGCAGAGGGATCTTCTGAGAGACCAGGCAAGGTGGACAGCTGCTCAATTTCCTCAGTCTCCAAAGCAGCAATACCAAAAGCCCACCGGTACCCTTTTGGGTCTTTGAAGTACCCTCTCTTGAGGTAGTCTATGCCGAGAATGCATGGAGCCTCTGGACCAGTCACAATAGGGTGCTTTTGCCATTCCCTCCCAGTCAGGCTGATTTCAGCCTCCAGCACAGTCAACTCTTGGGATCCTCCTGTTACTCCAGAAATATAGATGGGTTCCACCCCTTGACAGCTTGATGGCATCAGGGTACACTGTGCACCGGTATCTACTAGAGCCTTATACTTCTGTGGGACTGATGTGCCAGGCCATCTGATCCACACAGTCCAGTAAATCCGATTGTCCCCTACCTCCACCTGGCTGGAGGCAGGGCCCCTCTAACAGTCGTCACAGCATTGGACACTTAAGTCGTGTTGAAAGGGATTATTCTTCTTTATCACAGGAGCTGGAGTAAAATCAGCTCTTCCACTCCATCTGGGAAACTGATCACCAGAGACTGAAGCCGTAGCTCTCATGGGACGATCAGTCTTGGCCCTTGCTCCCCTCTTCAGTCCACTCACCCGTTCCTCCAAAGCTGAAGTAGGTTTTCCATCCCACTTTGTCATGTCTTCTCCGTGATCCAGCAGGTAAAACCATAGGGTACCCCGTGGCGTATACCTCCTGTATCTCCTCTCTTGAACAATAGGACGCCTTTTGTTAATAGCTGAGACGTGTGTTGGTACACGTGAGGAGCCGGATAAATCAGATAGATTGTCCTTCAATTGTTCGATGTCCTGGGACAGTTTTTTCACAGCTGAGATGATGGAAGGGGTGAGATTGTCTTCGAACTCTCGGAGTTTATGAACCATTTCATCCACTGTTAGTGGTACTATGTCATTCCAGGTTACTGTTGCCAATGAATGGGCATATGATGACGGTGCATTCCGTGTAAGTTTTCGCCACATGGGTCGTGTACATTCAACTTCATCTGGATCTATAGGTGTATCCCCGTTATTCGGCTTGATGTGATAGATCATCTCTACGATGGCCGATTCCCTCAGAGACTGGATGCCTTTGTCTATAGTATTCCACTTGGCCGAACGACTCGTAACATCGTCCTTGTACGGAAACCTTTCTTTCACAGCTGCCAAGAGCCTCCTCCAAAGGCTGAGGGACTTTTTCTCTCTTGCAATTGCTTTGTCAATTCCCCCTTCTCTAGCAAGTGATCCCAGCTGCTTGGCTTCTGTACCTTCTAGTTCGTGACCATCAGCCCCATTGTCCCAGCATCGGAGTAACCAGGTGATGATGTGCTCCCCTGGTTGACGGGTAAAATCTTTTCGCATATTCCGCAGCTCGGTTGAGGTCCGAGGTCGAGAAGTTACCTCTTCTTCTTCTTCTTCGTCATGTGATGATGACTCCTGATCAGATTCTGGACCGGGTGGTGAATTCATTGGTTCTTCATCTCGCTTCACCCTTTTTGCCTCCTTTTTGCTTGTTCTCTTGCGTACAGGGGCAACTGATATTGGTACGAATTGGTCCTCTGGTTTGGCTGCAGTGATTATCACTGTGGTTTGAGTAGCAACTGTACTTGTTACTGGGGGTGGTGTAGCTACTGTGCTTGGAGCTGGGGTAACCGCGCTGTCTGTTGCAGTTGAAGTTTGAGCAGCTGCTGTACTTGCCACTGGGACAGCTGTGCTGTTCATTGCAGCCAAAGTTTGAGTAGCGACTGTTGCTTTGCCCTCAGATCCGCCGACATTCTTTTCCTTTTGAAGGTGCTGGATAGTGTTGAACAAGGCCCTGTAAGCATAGGCCAAGCCCCAGCACGTTGCCATGATTTGTCCATCTCTGGTATGGCCAGAATGACCACACACCTCATTTAAGTGTTTTACTAATTCTTCTGGATTTTGCAGTTGTTCAGTAGTGAAATTCCAAAGTACTGGAGGGGCCCACTGACCTAGATACTTGCCCATACTATCCCACACACCCTGCCACTCATGGCTGTCCAGCCTCAGGGAAAATCTCTCGGTCCTCCTACATCGTCGTTTGACCCCAGACAAGACCCAAACCTGAATCTGCTTAACTCTTGAAATCAGTAGTGGGTAAAACACACTCTGTATGCGTGTTAGCATGGTGATTCCCATCACCATCAGCAAACAAGTCTCAACAGCATTAAAAGGCCATTCAAAAAATTCAAAACTCTCAAATGTAAATGGTCTGGGGGGACGACTAGGAGGGTAAAAGGATGTCTCCTTCCCAGGTTGAGCACCTGAGAAGGAGAAAAAAGATGTGTAATTGCTAAGCACCTCCATCATATACCTCCCAAAGTATAAAGGTGGTGACCACACTGGGAACATAAGCCAGATCAATTTCATGATCAATGATTCTATTGTATTACAAGTCATTACCATAAAGTACAATGGGATAAAAACCTTAGCCCAAGCCCCATACTTGAAAAACACTAATACAGCAAGTACCGGATGGACGTAAGATATCATATACTGAAACTGTGAGATCAAGAGGAACAACCTTGAGAGCCAATAAATCAGCATTGTGACGAGTGACTATCAATCCAGTCAGATCTGTTCTTATCTCAACCCTTCGTGCCCCACGTTGGGCGCCAAAAAGAACTGTCGTGGTTTAAACCCAATCAGGTAGCCCGTCCACTCACTCCCAGTGAGTGGTGCCGAGCTGACAACAATCGAGGTCCGTGTCCGTCTCCCCCCCCTGCCTCCCCGCACCGGGGCTCTCCCCTTCCCCGCTCCCGGAGGAACGGGGAGGAGGATCGAGAGAGTGCAACTCCTACGGGTTGAGACAAAAACGGTCCAGCAACAAATCACCACCGCTACTATCAGCTACAACAATGATAAGGGAAAATAACAAGGGAAGAGAATACGATACCACCGGCCAAGAGAAACGAGCTCCACCCGGAAACCCCTCCTTCCGGGTCACTCCCAGTTACCCCTCACCCCGGGCATGACGTGCTGTGGTATGGAATACCTCCCCGGCTAGCCCGGGTCAGGCGCCCCGTCTCTGCTTCCTCACAGCCTCCCCTCCTCCCTGGCAGAGCATGAGCCTCACAGAGTCCTTGGTCAGGGTAAACATCACTTAGCAACAACCGAGAACATCGGCTTCACCAACACTGTTCTCAAACTGGAAGTCAAAACACAGCACTGTACCAGTTAACACAAAGGAAAAAACATGACTGCTACTGCGGAACCCAGGACACCCCCCCAGTGACTTCCCACAATGACCACTGCCCCCCAAGTGATCCCAGACACAAAACAGCCCCTCCAGTAATGCCAAAGAGAACCCTCAGACCCACAAATGCTGCCCAATGCCCCCTCCCCCCCCCCGACTCACAACTGCCCCCAAGTGACCCCCATGTCACACCCCAGACCCTCAACTGCCCCCCCCCGTGTATTTCTGAGCTCTGGAGCTCCTTCAGGTCCTGGTTTGGAGCCCCAAAGCTCTGGCTCATTCCTTGTTCCATGCTCCCAAGGTCCCTGCATGGGCCAGGCTGAGCCAAATGCCCCATAAATGGGTATTTCTGACCCAAAACCTCTCAGGGTGCCTCTTCTGGAGCCCCCAGGTCTTGTTTGCCATCAGGTTCCGTTAAACCCTCTCCTGACTGTGCCCCCAGCTCCAGCCGGTGCCATGGAGGCCTCTGGAGGGGATGGAAGAGGCGAAGACGTTGCCCTGCGGCCCCAGCCCAGCCACGAGGGCGACAGTGACCCCTCGGATGGGGATGAAGACCAAGGACAAGCCAAGGTGGCATCCGAGAGCCTGAGCGCAGTTCCCAAGGGATGTGAGGCTGTGGGTTCAACCATGCAGCAGGAGACACGGGACCACATGCCCAGCTGTGCCAACCGGGAGGGCCTCTGCAGTGAGCCAGGTAGTGGAAGAGCAGGGATGGATCCTGATGGGATCAGGGCAGGGAAAACCATGGAGCAAGACTGGCCCCAAGCTCACATCTCAACTGTGATGGTCTTTCCTAGAGCCGTCGCCAGCAGATGCGTTGGTGGGAGATGGAGAGGACAACAGCAAATGGCATCTGGCCACTGGTTCCTCCAGTGGACACAAGGTGGGAATCCCAGAATCCCAGACTGGGTTGGGGTGGAAGGGGCCTTAAAGCTCATCCAATTCCAGCCCCTGCCACTGGCAGGGACACTTTCCTGTGTCCTGCTCCAAGCCTCCAACACTTTCTTGTTCCTGCTCCGAGCCCCTGTGTCCAGCCTGGCCTTGAACACTGCCAGGGATGGGGCAGCCGCAGCTTCTCTGGGCACCCTGTGCCAGTGCCTCAGCACCCTCGCAGCAAAGAGCTTCTGCCTAAGAGCTCATCTCAGTCTCCTCTCTGGCAGGTTAAAGCCATTCCGCTTGTCGTGTCCCTACATGCCCTTGTCCAAAGCCCCTCTCCAGGTTTCCTGAAGCCCCTTTAGGCACTGGGAGCTGCTCTGAGGTCTTTCTTGCTCTGGGCTGCAAGAGCACGTTGCCAGCTCATGTTGAGCTTCTCATTGACCAGCCAGCACCGCAAGTCCTTCTCCTCAGGGCTGCTCCATCCATTCTTCCTCTGACTCTGTTTGTGCTTGGGATTTCCCCAGCCCAGCTGTGGGACCTTGCCCTTGGCCTGCTTGAACCTCATGAAGTTCACATGGTCCCATCTCTGCCCTTCCCTGGGGTAGGATGGATGCAGTATCTGGTGCTGATGCTCTTTAGCAGAACCTCCACCATTCAGAACTGTTTTGGCCACAAAGCAGCACCATTGGTCATTAACTCCATCCCTGGTCAGAGCCAGGAGAACCCTCCATGGGGGAGGTCAATTAGGCAGGAGAGAGCCAGGTTTTGGTTACAAATCTGGGTTAACTCATGCAGGCATGCGAGTTCTGGGTCCTGTTGGAGAGTCTGCACATTAGGGAAGGTATCTCTGGGGGCTTTTTGTTGCCCGAGTGATCCTACACTGGTCAGGTTCATGGTCTTGAGGGTGTCAGAGCCCTTGGTCATAGCCACGTGGTGCTCAGGTGGCTCCTGCTTTCCTCCCCCCCACTCTTGTGACCACCAGGAACTCTGTTCTCATCCTTCCCAGGCTCCTGAGGTCCCACCACTAGCTGAGATCCAGCTCCAGCAGATCCCAGTATGCTATGACATGGAGAAGGAGAATTACCAGGACACCTGCGTCCATCCACAGGGAGCATTGGGAATGCAGGAGCAGGAGCAGAATCATCCGGTTAGTCCATGGCGGCTTTGGAAGCTCATGGCCAAAGCTTGTGGAGGACAAGAGTTGAGTTCTCCATGTCAGGGCAGTGTCTCTGGCCTGGATTTGGGAGCTCAATGCTGTAGAAATGGTGGGGCAGAAGAAGACTGTGCCCAGCCCTTGATCTCTCTTGTGCTTCTGAACTTCATTTCTGGTCCTTCAACTCTCCTTTTGTCCAGGCAAATGCCCCAGGTCACACGAAGCAAGTGGGGAGGACAAACCAGGAGAATCTGAACCGCACAGGTACCGGTGAAGCTCCTCAGCAGAACATGGGAGGACAGTGAGGACCTCAATCTTAGAGTGGGTTGGGGGTTCCTCTTCCAAGAAGACCATACCCAAACTGAAAGGAGCCCCACCTCTCCCTGGTGAACCCCAGTTTCTACCTTTTCTTGTCTCGCCACCTTCTTTGGAGGTGTTCATTGATGCTTTCTCCTCAGTTGCAGATGACTCGGGACCTTCCAACAGGTTCGTGGTGCGGAGGGATAGCATCACTGAAGGCTTTGAGGTTGGATCTGGAGGGGGAGGAGGTCCAGCAGCTCCCCAGGGAGATGAGTTGTGGTGGGAGGAGATGCAGCTTGGGCTACACCTCTTTACACCCTGGTCAGTGTAGAGAGACCCCAGGATGTCCTTCCACATCCCAGTGGTGGGCACTTGCTCTGAGGCATCCAGGTCTTTCCAAAATGCCTTGGAGTAAACAAGAGGTCTTCACCAGGGTGGGAGGTGACGATGGGCTGGACAAACAAGCACTGGGGACGTTGCTGAGTGGACACACATCTGCTGGGAACAAGAGCCAAGGGGAGTGGATGTGAGTAGTGGAGCAGGTGAAGATGGGGAAGGGGAACGGTGGCAGGAGAACACAGCGAGGCTTCCACCACCTCTCTCCCAACAGCTGCCAGCCCAGCTCCTACCTATTTGGTGCCCGTCACCCACTGCAGGATGCAATGAGCCTGGAGTTTGTGGCAGTGCTGTCACAACCTTGTAACCTCAACAAGAAGGACAAGATCTGCATCGTCTTCTACAAAGGGCAAGGCCACTGTGAAGAGTTTGCCAACATGGAGAGAAGGTGAGGAGATGATGGTGGCATTTTGGTGTTGGAGCTTCCACTGGGGGTTGAGGGATCCAGCTGCAGGTTCCTGCTGAGGTTGGAGGTGAATCCCCCAGTGGGGATGCCCTGGTGTGGTCATAGCACTTGGTGGTGGCTCCCTCAATCTTCCTCATCACTCGGAGCTGCCAGTGTCGGATCTAACCTGGGCTGATGGCTTTTGTGGCTGCCCCATCCCTGGCAGTGTTCAAGGCCAGGTTGGACACAGGCGCTTGGAGCAACCTGCTCTAGTGGAAGGTGTCCCTGCCCTTCGCAGGGGTTGGAGCTGGATGAGCTTTAAGGTCCCTTCCAACCCAAACCAGGCTGGGACTCTATGATCCTCCTCCTCTGGGTGATGAACCCGGCTGTGGAGACCTCTCCGACAACTTGATGGCCAGCGCTGCCATGTTGGATGAGCCAAAACTTGATCTTTGTCTTTGGGTTGACCTTGATGCTCAAGCCCAAACCAAGGAGCTCCTTCTCTTCCAGTTCCACGAACCAGCAAGTAATATCAGGCAGCGCCAGGATCCCTGTTTCCTGCCTCCAACAAGGTGCCATCTTCTACAAATACGCCCTGGTTGACACCTACAGCCAGAAGAGGGCCTGTAACTTGGAGCACATTCCCTTGGAGAACTTCAGCATCCCCAAGACCTTTCAAAGCAGAAATGTTCCCTTATTTCGGGTCCTGAAAATCCCCAAAGAGGAGATCCGAGTGGGTGGTAAGTGCTGTTGTTCAGCCCACAGCCATGGCCAGACGCGACAGTGGGGTCCTCCCTGCTCTCTTAGAATCGTAGGATCATGGAATGAGTCAACGAGGTTGGAAAAGACATGAAGATCATCTCATGGCACTAAAGGCCTTGGCTACACAGTGTGGGAATGCTTCCAGGGACGGTGACTTCAGCGCTGCCCTGGGCACCCTGTTCCGATGCCTGAGCACCCTCTTGATGAGGACATTTCTCCTCTTAGCCAACCTAAACCTCCCCTGGAGCAGCTTGAGGCTGGTTCCTCTTGTCCCCTTCTTCCCTTGTTACTTGGGAGAAGACACCAGGTATACCTGGTCTAAAGATCTTTAGAAGCTGCTCATATAAATAAGCTTATTTTTCCTCCCTGTAATAAAGCTCATAGTTGTCACCCAAGTGACAGCACCCAAATCCTGTCCAGATTATGGGTGGCACCTTTTGTTGCAGATGGCTGCATGCTGTTGGGGCTCAGCCCAGCCTGGTGTCTACATTTTGTTCCCAAACTTCTCCTCTCCACAGGAACATGGACCATCTTTGAACAGCTCCACTGCCATTTTCCCAGAACAAGCACTTTGAGCTCTTTGGTCTCAAAGGGGCCCAGCCACCAGATGGAGGTGAAATACCTGGAGAACTGCTTCTTTGCACACACCACTTCCTGGAAATCCCTTGAGGCCATGGAGAGAAAACTGGACAGGTACAAGGAGAGCAGCAGTGTCTGTCTTGGGGACCCAGAGGAAAGAAAACACTTTGAGGTCACCTGCCAGTCTGCAGATGTGGTGAGTATCCCCCAAAACCTCTGTGGAGCCAGCAAAATGATCCCAGAATTCCATGACTGGTTTGTGTTGGAAGGGACCTTAAAGCTCATCCAGTTCCAACCCCCAGGGACACCTTCCATTAGAGGATGTCTCCTCATCTTCTAGTTACGAGACGTCTCCTCACAAGAGAGATGCTCCAGATCACTCCTTATCTTTGTGGCCTCCGCTGGACCTCTCCAGTAGTTCCTTTTCTCTCTTGTGCTGAGGAGCCCTGAACTGGACACAGGACTCCAGAGGTGGCCTCACTATGGTCAAGTAGAGGGGAAGTAATCACCTCCCTCGGCTGCTCCCAATTCCCAGTGCACCTGAGGGTGTCCCTCTTTATTTTTTTTTTGGGTTGGGGGGGTGGTGGTGGTGGTGGTGGTGGTGGTGTGTGTGTGTGTGTGTAAGCTGAGAGCCTTCTCCTGCCTGATTTTTTTAGCATGTACGACCTTTCTGGATGGACAAGGTGTCGCATGGTAGCAGCATCTTCCACCTCCCATCCTCCTCCTCCTTCCAGGACCAAGATGTGCTCAAAGAAAACCCATGTGGTGAAATGTTTTCTTCCTATTTCCCTTGTCCAGATCAGAGACAGTGTTGGAACCTTCATACAAACTGTCATTGAGAAGCTGGACACCTCAGAGCACAAACTTCCTCAGCTCCTCTTTGTGCTCTATGCCTCCTTCAAGTACGGCATCAGCCTTCCCTCAGCCTCCATCGCCAAGGCTGAGAAGCTCTTTGAGGACATTGGGTTCTTGCAAGAAGAAGAACTGAGAGGCAAAAGGTGATTTGGGTTGGGTAACCTGCTCACTGGGGCTCAGCTCAGTTGTTCCCACATGTCCCCATGTGTTCCATGAGCTCTCACATGGGGTCTTTGAGGGTGATTAAACCTAGGTTGGTGGCTTCAAGCCCATTGGGTCCATCTTGGGTACTCCAGGCACCTTGTTTCACATCTCTGATGTTGGGTGTCCCATGGAGGTGTCTTGCTCTGAGCTCTTTCCAGGCAGGATGGGGGACAAGCCTCCGTCCCGTGTTGGCACACTTCTCCCACTGGCATCCCAGAGGTTACTTGTGGGAAGTTGGACATTTTGGGCTTTTTATCTGCAGCAAATACTTCCCAGCTCTGAAGGAACTTTGTCTCAAGACCACTGATGGCACCTTGTGGATCTGGCTGGTCCCTCTGCTCTTTGCAATCAAGAAGACGGAAGATGCCTTTGCCCAAATTGTTCTTCCTTTAGAAGCCTTCAAAAAGCTGAGGAAGGACAAAGAGAAGCAAAGGTGGGTCTGGAAGTTGTGGTGGGCTGAGGGTAATGATTCTGCTCTTCAAAGGGCTTTTCATTCCTTCTGCTTGGTGGCTTCTCAAGAAGCTGCTGGTTCTCCTTGCTATGACGTGTCCTCTACCTTGGAGGTTTTGAAGGAACATTGGTGGACCTCAAGGGTAGGATGGAGAGGGGTCCTGTGTGGTCTTATCCAGACAGCTGGATGGGGGAAGTCCTGGGGAGAGAATGGGTTGAAAGGTACTTTTGAATGTTATCTAGTGGCACCCCCTGTCCCATGCAGGGACACCTCTCACTAGGCCGGGTTGCTCAAAGCCCCATCCAACCTGGCCTTGAACACCACCAACAATGGGGCAGATATCCCTGTCCATGCAGGGATGAATCTAGAAGTTCCTTTCCAACCCAAGCTGAACCCAACCTGAACCCAACCCATTCTATCACTGTGTTTACCAGTCATGGTGCCATCTCTACCACCACCACCATGCCTCCTGGTCCTCCGAAGCCCGACTGATGTTCTTGACCTGCTTTCCTAGGAAAGTCCTGAAGATGGTGGGTGCTCACAGGACCTTGATTACAAGCTGTCCTCTGCTGGCAAAGAAGGTTTTTGAGATGCTGGCCCTGAAGAACTTTGTGGAGGCCCCTTTGGCTGACACGTGGCAAGTTGCCTTGGAGTCCTTGTTCCGGCGCATCATAGACGAGAGGACGGATCTGCCTGTAAGGACAATTGCCTGGTGGAAGACCTTCTTTTGCCCTTCAGGAGTTGGGGGGCTATTTAACCATGGGTCAGGATGTGTCCTGGGTTCCTACAGAGATTTTTCAGCAGAACTGAAGGTCGTCATAGTAGAAAACAGGGCTTGGAGCTGAATCCTGAGACCAAACACAAGGGAAGCCCTTTAACCTGGCCAGAAAGGTCCATGCTTTAGTGTAGAAGCTCCTCAGGTGTGGGAGCACAAGCCATCTCACATTGGTCCTCAAGGTCTTTCTGTCCTGTTTTTCAGGAAGGGGATTTGAACATGGCCTTGAAAAGCATTGCCACCTGGATGGAAACCTGGGTCAAGGACTTGTGAGTCAGGGCTTCTTGAAAGGAGAAGATGGAGGGTCTAGGGAGGGATGGATAGATGGATGATAGATGATGGGTGGATAGATGGATTGATGGATGGATGGGTGGATGGAGGGATGGATGGAGAGATAGATGGAGGGAGCCCTGGATGAGCAGAAAGCAGGTGGCTGCCATGAGCTGCCCAATGCTTTTTTTGATGTCTCTATGGCTGACAAGCCTGGAGACCCTCAAGGGTTGTGTCCCATGGACCTGCCCACTTCTCCCAGCTGCAGAGGGTGGCTGTGCTCAGACAGCGACTGCAAAAGCAAGTGCAAGAAGCCATTGGCCCTGTCCTATGTGCACAGGTGTTTCTCAGGGTCTTCAAAAGCAGCGCTGAAGGCCATCCCCAAGGATGAGGTCATGCAGTGCCTGAACCTGGGGTACCTCCTGCTGAAGTACTTCTTGCAGAAGCAGATGTGCTCAGTGTCCTTCAGCAATGTGCTGGCAGTGCTGCAGATCCTTGGGACATCTGTGGACATCACAGAGTTACTGGAAGTGCACAAGGTGAGGACGGGACCTGGGGCTTGTCAACAGGGCTCAGCTTCCTGCCTGTAGCTGAGGAGAGCCCAGAGCTTGTGCCTCACTCTTCTGCTCTTGGATTTCTCAAGGAATTCCAGCTGCTCACCTCAGAGGAAAGGTTTGAAGAGTTTTCTGGTTTTACCAAGCCGTGGCTCCAGACGTGCTTCCAGAAGGCACCTGTGAAGCAGGCATCCTTCCAGAAGAGCTTTGATGTGAGTGAGGAGGCCAACATGAGCCATTGGTAGTTTCAGGTATTTCTCAAGGTCAGCTGATGGGTTTGACTCTTCCACTACAGGCATGGCAGCAGCTGCTCTCAGTGAAGATCCTCTGCCCAAGGTGGACCAAGTTGTGGCGGGGCTTGCTCCAGGATATGTTTAAGAACTGGCTGGAGAAGGTAGGTTATGGAGACCCACGAGCAGCTGGGGGAAGATGCTCCAGGTCTTTGTCTCAGTGGTGGGACTTGAGGTGCTGGGTAAAGGCCCTGAAAGCAGCCGCCTCTCAAGTGGTTCCTTGCTGTAGGTTGAGGACAAACACCTCATAGACTTCTTCCAGCATTTCCTGAAGATGGATAAAAGCTATGACATAGATCTGGAGAGCTGCTTTACCAACCACATCATCCAGTGTATCAGAGGCATTGGCAAGAGCAAGGTAGGAGAGTACCTCCACACCTGGGGCTGCAGGAGGTCTCCACATTCCACCATGCTGACTCTTTTTGCTCTGTGTTGGGTGAAGAGTGTGGGGAAAGGTCCTTCTGAAGCACCCACGAGCCCACAAAACCCCTAAAGAGGAGAAACTTCTCATCCTTCCAGGAACCCATGCTCAAATCCTTGCTCTCTGTGATCCTCAAGACAAGGAAACCGTCTGCTGCGAGGCTGCTGTCCGTTATGGTGGAGAGGATGTTCTCAGTGATGGAGACGCTGAGAAGTGTCACCATGTTTGATGAGAACACTGGCCCTGTGCTGGCCAACCTGCTCAACAAGCCTGAAGTCTGTGACCTCCTTTCTGTTGTCCGTGAGTGTCCCCTGTGTAGCTTTCTTGGGAGAAGCTCTTGGTTTAGAAGCCAGATGAGAAGGCCAGGAGTCTTTCCATTGGAAACACAAAATGAGAGGGAGGGGGAAATGATTTCCAAGCCAGAAAATAAGGTTTCATTCAGGGCTGGAGAAACATCTCAGTTTCTTTATCCCATCACAGTGGTGCTTCATTGAGCACTCAACAAGGGTGGGGCTTGTTGCTGAGGAGAAGACATAATGGAGACAGAGCCCAGAGCCTTGTCCACACAAAGACAGTGAAGGATTAGAACAAGAGTGGTTCTTCACCACACTTGGAGGGTTTCCATTGACAAAGCCTGGTTTGAGGCCTGTATCGGCCGTGCTTTGCTCAGGCCATGGAGAAGAGGAGAGTTCGTGGCTGTTGCTCCCTGCTCCACCTTCTGGCACCACCAGAAAGACTCTGGGCTGGTTGCCTCCATAGCTGCCCTTGCCATAGTAGCTGTTGGCTGTGGTGGGATTGTCCCATCACCAACTCTTGGCCACAAGAAAGACAACCAGCATCTTCTGTGCTTGGAAGCCCTCCATGCCCACCTGACCTGGCTGCCCAACCTCAGATACAATCTCCTGGGTGGTCTCCAGGCTTTGTTTCAGGCAGGAGGAATTTCTCAAAGGGTTTCCAAAGGAAATCTGTGAACTTCCCAAGATGCTGGTTTTGATGGTTCAGCTAGAAAGCCACCACACATCTGTCCTTGACACCCCAGTGGGGTGATGGAACCCCATGAACTGGTTCTTCCTGAGGATCTGGCTTCAAAAGAAACGTATCTTTGATGAAATTCTATTGATTATCCAGGAGAAGGAGAGGGCAGGTGCCATTTTCAGCTCAGCAATGATGCTAATGTCCTCCTTGACCGGGTGTCTGCGCTCTTCTGCTTTGTGGGACGCTGCGTTCTCTTGGGAGACCTTCCCTGCAGCATCCTGGAGAGCATCTTAAAGCATCGGGAGCAGTTCATGAAAATGCTGTGCACCTGTGGTGAGTTCAGTGTCCAACCTGGGCATGTTCTCATGGATGCATGGCCAGTGGGAGATAGATCTATGGGATAACAACCTAAAATGCTGGGAAAACTACAAATTGTCTGCAAGAGAAGCCCAAAGAAATGGAAGTCCAAGTGGAAGAGTTGCTCATTCTGCCAAAAGGGGTGATTTTAAGTTATTTGAGAAGCAGGAAGGAGCAAAACCGCTCTTTTTTTTTCTTAATGTATTTGAAGTTTTGGGGTGTTTGTGGAATTTATTTTCAAGTTTTGGGGTGTTCGTGTTATTTGTTGCCAGGATTGGGGTGGTGGAGCTCCCTGGTGACAGGCCTTGCCTTCAGATGCAGTGCAACTCCAGCTCGCTCTACTTAAAACCCAAAGGAAAGGGAGCAAGTTCTCATTTTGCTCTGAGAAGAAACTGTATGGATATTTCGTTGATGTTTTGGGCTCAGATAATGAAGTTGTGGATCTTTTTGGTGGTTTTGGCCACAGGGCTGCTTTGGGAAGGAGCTGTAGGCTTTCTGGAGGCTGAAAATCATCTTGGTTTTGATGGCAGGGGTTAATTTTCCCACAGCTTTTCTCTTTCCAAGGGTTCTTCTTCAGGTTTGGGTCTTCTTTTACCAGATTCCTCTTTCACCAAGTGTCTACCAAATGTGCTGGAGGTCAGGAAGCGGGAGTTTGAGCAACTGGAAGAGCAGAAGAAGCAACGACATTCCTTTCTGTGCCTGTGCCGTGCCATAGAGGACGTGATCAAAGGTACTGGTTGGGTTAGCGGGGCTCCTGCTGTGGTTGTTGGGTGCGGAGATGTCTTCTAAAATGCGGAGTCTCACAGTAGGGTGGAGGGAAATGTGATCAGGGAATGTGTTGACATGGAGGAATGTGTTACATGCGTTCCTTCTTGTTGTTCCTACTACGTTTAGTGGATACAAGCATCATGGAGAAAAGCATTATGGACAACAACAGCTTTAAGGATCAGACCTCGGTGAGGAAGTTCCTCATCGATGGCACGAGTGAATTGGAATCGCACGTCCTCGATGAATATCAGGACATGATGCAAAAACTGGATGTGGTGAAGAGAAGCCAATGTTTCCAGAGGCTGTTGAAGAGAAGTGTGCAGCAAATCAAAGCCACGGCCTCTGAAGACCAAGTTTTGTCCATAGCAGATGTGGAAGAAAAGATCTACAAGCCAGCCATGGCTGCCTTTGGGGAAACCTACCAGTCCCTCAAAAACTTCTCCATCACCCTGGGGACGGTGAAAAGCCAGTTCAAGACAATGCTGGGACAGCAGGATCAGCTCCGGAAGGAGTTTGAAATCATGGAGGAGAGCGAAGGGACGAGGCCTGGAAAAGCTGCTTGGATCCCCAGGGCAGTGGAGAGAATTGAAAACTACCTGACTCTATCCGAAGTAGTGACCACGGCCAAGGTGATCGAGGACCTGAGACAGATGTTGCAGCTCAAGGGAGATTTCCAGGTTCTCAGCGACCTGGCGAAATACGTATGTAGCAGACCTGTGGGCTTCTGGGGTGGGAGCTTCAAATTCAATCCCATCAGGTTTGATTCCTTCTGCCTCCTGCCATGGGGATGCTGCGAGGGCTGGAGCAGCTCTGCTCTGGAGCCAAGCTGAGAGAGTTGGGCTGTTTCAGCCTGGAGAAGAGAAGGCTTCTTAAGAGGAGACTTCAGAGCAGCCCCAATGCCTGATGGGGCTACAGAAAACCTGGGGAGGGGCTGCTACAACAGCGTGTAGTGATGGGACAAGGAGTAACAGCTTCCAACTGGTAGAGGGAAGAATTAGATGGGATATAAAGAAGTTGATTTCCACCATGAGGGTGCTGAGGCGCTGGCACAGAGTACCAGGGAAGCTGTGGCTGCCCCATCCCTGGCAGTGTTCAGGGCCAGGTTGGACACAGGGGCTTGGAGCAAGCTGCTCTAGTGGAAGGTGTCCCTGCCTGTGGCAGGGGGTTGGAACTGGATGAGGTTTAAGGTCCCTTCAACTAAAACCTGGCTGGGATTCTGTGATGGTGGAGACCGACAGGGATGCATTCCGGAGCAGACTTGGGTTTGAGGCAAAGATCTCATCTGTTTCAGGGAGGAGGAGATAGGACCAAGCTTCTTTCCTCCTCTTCCCTATAGGCACAGGTTGGGTTTTATTTTTTCCCTAGGATAAGGAGGAATTCAAGAAGAAGCGACTTGATTTTATGACCCAAGACTTGATGAAGGTGAAAAAACAATTGAGTGACATTCCCCAGGGAGTTTTGGACTTTGTGAAGGAACTTCTGGAATGTTCAAGGAGAGGTTTCACTGCCTGGATCAAGACCATAATAAAAGGTGGGCTGAAAAGGAGAAAGTCCTCAGATATGGACATCTTCTGACATGCTCTAGTGGAAGGTGACTTTGCCCATGGCAGAGGGTTGGAACTGGATGAGCTTTAAGGTCCAAACCATTCCATGGATCTATGATATAACGACAGAGGGAAGATACATAGTTGTTGCCCCTACATCCAGCACAGGGTTTCATGAGTCAGGGCAGGGAAATTCCTCAAATCTTCCTCTTATTCTCCCTTTTTCATTCCCAACTTCCCAGACAAGACAGAAATCCCTGTCTTTGTGGAACTGGCCTCAATTTCTGCGGGTGAAAACGACATAGATATTGACCGAGTGGGCTTCTTCCGGGATGCAATGGCTGCTTCTGCCCCCATCATCTTAGACCTGAGTCCCACAGCTGGCTTTGACCAGTTCTCAGAAGCTCTGTCTTTCATCAAAGATGCCGTCGCTAAAGACAGGAAGCTTCCCAAGAAGCTGGTGAGTCTTCAAGTCCCATGTCCAGAAGTGCACTTGGACACTTGCTGTGAGGCCCAGTTGCTGACCCATAGGTGTGTAAAACCATTTAAGATGGTTTCCCTATGACATCCATCTGGGCCTGGCAGGACCCGGGCAGAGGCTGGGCTCTTTTTTGAAGTGGAAGCCTGGTGGTACATCTCAAGTGACCTGACACACATGTGTGAGCTACTGGAGGAGACCAAGTAGGTGTTGTGAATAGGAGGAAATGAGTTCTGGAGTCTACAGCTTAGGATCCTCAGAAGAAATGCTCACAGAAACACCACCCATATCAGATTAGAGAGGGGAGTAGTGCTCCATGTCCTTCCAGCTAGTTACTGGGTCTCCCCTTGGTTCTTCTTTTGCAGAGAGATTCCTTTGACGAGAAGTGGTTAAAGGTGGTTCACGAATCTCATGGCTCTGTGGAGCAGTCTTCAATCTCTCAAGCCAGAAGCATCAACAGAAATGGGAAGTTTACCATCTCAGCACCTGCAAAATGCAAGGTGAAGGGTCTGAAAGGGGTGTCTTGTACTTTTTAATGCTATGGGAAGAAGGGATCTTTCTTGGAATCATCTTCCAACGAGCATTCCAGGTTGCCAACAGATCTCCAGCTGGGTTTGCATTCATTTTCTCTTAAACCTTGAATATTTTCAGTGGAAAAGGGGTTTTCCTTCCCTCCAAGGGAAGTGGTACAAGACATGTGGAGTCCTGACGTGGAGCATTTTGACTTAAAGGCCATGTGGTGACTTTGGTTGACTTCTTTCCTTCCCAGGCTACGCTTGAGAACTGTGTCTCGTTGCGACTGCTGCCTGACTGTGAGGGTAGCACATCTCCAGCAACCCCCAAGGACAAGCAGTACAGCTTTCCTGAGCTCAGGGAGCTCCAGAACAAGCTTATGTTGATCACCACCAAAGTTGAGCAGGGCAGAGAGGAGACAAACCGCTTCTTGGAGGTAAGTCACAGGGCAGAACCAAAATCTGCATGGAAAAAAAGAGGCCTGTTGGGTTCAGGAATTTTCTGGAATTATTTCCAGGAGACTCATCCATGACCTGCAGCTCTGGCCTTTCAGGAGGCCTTTCTAGAATAACACCCATTTCCCAATGGTCGTGGTTTAAACCCAGCCAGCCAGGCCGTTCACTCACCTCCCCCTCTTTCCTCCCTCTTCCTTCCCCCCCACCCCCAGCTTCCCTGCTCCCGGACGGATGGGGAGGAGAATCGAAAGAATGTAACTCCCACGGGCTGAGATAACAACAGTCCAGTAACTAAAGTATAACACAAATCACTACTGCTACCACCAATGATAATAACGATAAGAGAAAATAACAAGGGAAGAGAATACGATACCACCCTCTGAAACAAGCCTGACCCAGAAGACCCTGGGTCACTCCCAGTTACCTCCCCAGGCATGATGTGCTGTGGTATGGAATACCTCTTTGGCTAGCCTGGGTCAGGTGTCCTGTCTCTGCTTCCTCCTGGCTTCCCCTCCTCCCTGACAGAGCATGAGACTCACAAAGTCCTTGGTCAGAGTAAACATTACTTAGCAACAACGAAAAACATCGCTGTTATCAGCACTGCTCCCAGGCTAAAAGTCAAAACACAATGCTGCACCAGCTACCAAGAAGGAGAAAAACTGACTGCTACTGCTAAACCCAGGACACCAAACTACAGAGGTGGGATTTGCTTTCCTGGGCATCTTTCCTCAATTGTGGTGCCCAACAGCCTATCCAAAACCTTTCATACCTCACTGTGAAAGGACTGATTCCATGGTTTGGGGTGGAAAGGACCTGAATCCTGCATGAGACCCAAACTGAGGAAATCTCTCCCCAGAAGCACAGTGGGCCACCTTCATAGAATCATGGAAGTGCCTGGGTTGATAGGGACCTTGAAGCTCATCCAGTTCCACCCGCCTGCCATTGACAGGGACACCTTCCACTAGAGAAGGCTTGTAAGAAAGATGAACTTCTAGCAAGACCTATGAGGATGGGACAAGGGGGAACGGCTTTAAACTGACAGGGGAAATTGAGATGAGCTCTTAGGCAGAAGTTGTTCCCTGTGAGGGTGCTGAGGCTTGGGCACAGGGTGCCCAGAGAAGCTGTGGCTGCCCCATGCCTGGCAGTGTTCAAGGCCATGTTGGACAGGGCTCAGAGCAACCTGCTCTAGTGGAAGGTGTCCCTGACCATGGCAGGGTTGGAGCTGGATGAGCTTTAAGGTCCTTTCCAACCCAACCCAATCCATGATTCATGTTTGCTCTCCTAAATTTCAGTGTCCTCACTGCTCTTCCGGCCCATGTTCCTTAAGGTTGCCCACCAGGGTATGATCCCTGCAGCCCAGGCTGTCACCAGCCTGGACATCCCTCAAGAGTTCATCCATGTTGGTGAGCATCAGGTCTGTTGATGCACTTCATCTGGACAGGCTGCCTAGCACCTGGATGAAGTAATTGTCTGTCCTTGACTCTCTCCATGAGTCTCCTGGCCTCCTCACAGCTTGGCATGATGCATCTCCAGTAGATCCCAGGGGGCTGACATCCCCCAGCAGGATCAGAGCCTGTGAGCGTGATGCGTCCTGTAGCTGAAGTCAGGAGACCCAGCTCCTCAAGGGTAGACCCAGCTCCTCAAGGGTAGACCCAGCTCCTCAAGGGTAGACCCAGCTCCTCAAGGGTAGACCCAGCTCCTCAAGGGTAGACCCAGCTTCTCAAAGATAGACCTAGCTCCTCAAGGGTAGACCCAGCTTCTCAAAGATAGACCTAGCTCCTCAAGGGTAGACCCAGCTTCTCAAAGATAGACCCAGCTCCTCAAGGGTAGACCCAGCTTCTCAAAGACAGATCTAGCTCCTCAAGGGTAGACCCAGCTTCTCAAAGATAGACCTAGCTCCTCAAGGGTAGACCCAGCTTCTCAAAGATAGACCTAGCTCCTCAAGGGTAGACCCACCTCCTCAAGGATAGATGCATCTCCTCAAGTATAGACCCAGCTCCTCAAGGCAGACACAGCATCTCAAAGGTAGACCCAGCTCCTGAAGGGTAGACTCAGCTTCTCAAGGGTAGACTCAGCTTCTCAAGGGTAGACATGGCTTCTGAAAAGTGATTGTAAAAGAGCAAACCAGCCATGCAGCCAAATGCTCCTGTCCCTTCTTCATCCTCCCTCCCTGTTACATCCATGTGTCTCTTGTACTGGAAAAGGAGGACCTGGGCAGTGTTTGGAAGCTGCTGAGAACATGCTGCAGTAGGTGACCCATCCCCTGTTGTGTCTTTGATGTGTTACAGGTACTGGAAAAAGTTGAAACGATTGCAAAGTTGTACCTGGAGCTTCTCAGTGTTGGCAACATCCTCTTCATCGACTGGAAGGCTGATATCTACTGCCGCCCCCAGCAACATGTGAAAGTCTACACGGAGTTTGGCATTGCTGGGATCCTCGTTCAGAGCACGAGGCCCCTCCTGGAGGAGCTGGGCAGCCTCTCGAAAGCCATGGAGCATTGCTTGGCCAAGTGGAAGAAGTACCTGGAGACTCAAAGGGACACCTACTATCATCTCAACCTCTTCACTGCCCACCAGCTCTTCTATTTGTGCAGCCAGCTGGCCAGAGTCCAGAAAGGCACCACAGAACCACAGGTTCTCATCATGCTTTCCGTCATCAAGCATGACATCCGAGCAGAAGATATCCAAAGAGCCCTGCGGGATGCGTTGATGACTCCCCTGGAGTCCATCCCTACGTTGGTGGGATGCGAGGAATCAGTTAGTTGGCAGGACTACATCATCCGCTTCCCCCAGCTCATCCGGAGCTTGGCTGAGTCGGGCTACAATGAGGCAGTGGCAAAGGCAGCCTTGCAGAGCTGCTTGGAAACCTTCCCCCATGCACCCATCACGGAGCAGATGCTGATGGATTTTGCCTTTGAGCAAGGTGAAGACAAGGACTTGGTTGAGCAGCTCAGCAAGTCCTATGAGGAGACAAGAGAGACCTTCCTGCAGAAGAGCCGTAAGTTTAAGACTAAGCCCAGTGATGTCAACCGGGTCTCCTTCAGCTCTCTGGCACAGCATGAGTTGTCTGCCTCCTTTGAGAGCTTGCCATCTCTTTACGACAAGGTGAACCTCATCTGGGATGCCTACTGCAAGAAACTCCCTGGCCTGGTTTCCGATAAATACATAGGTTTGGATGTTTTTGGGGAGACACTGAAGCGTTTGGCTGCTCTGGAGAGCACACGCATTGAGAGAAGTCTACCTGTAGGCTTTGAAGTGGGGAAACCAATTCTCATCACGTGCAAGGAGGAGGACATGTTGCCCAACATGTTATTCCTCTACCGACACACTGAGATGGCGCCTCTCCCATCATATGATGAGGTCCTGGTGTGCACGCCCAACACGCATGAGGAGGAGGTGGAGCTACTTGTCAGAAGAGCTCTTGCTCCAGGGTCTCAAGACCAGAAGATCTACTGCTTGCTGGGTGCTGATAAATTGGTCTATAAAGTTTCTAAACAGCTCGAGTTCCACTTCTTCCGCCTGGTGCAATCTTCCAGCATCCCCAGCTACAGGTTCATCATCTTCTGCAATGCCAAAGCTCCCAGCTCCTACGTTATCACAGCCTTCGATGCCTACAAGATGACTTTCCCATGCTACTCCAACGCAGAAATCCAGACCTACCTGAAGATGCACCTCAAAGTGCCAAGTGGGACATCCCCTGTCACTCAAGCCTTTGAAGAGCCCCATCAGCAGAACATGAAGCTAGTCTTCTCAAAGCAAGCAGGGATGGGTATGTTTAGGGAAGTCATATTCTGTGTTGTAGCTCAAACCAAGTTGTCAAGGCCAGGGTGGATGGGGCTTTGAGTAACCTGGTTTTGTAGAAGGTGTCCTTGCCCATGGCAGGGGGTTGGAACTGAATGATCTTCAAGGTCCCTTTCAACCCAGGCCCTTCTGTGATTCTACGAAGGTGGCCCACGGTGCTTCTGGGGAGAGATTTCCTTGGTTTGGGTCTCATGCAATTGTAGAAGGGTGGATTGATTCACTATCACCTCTTCCCACTCCTTAGGGAAGTCTCTCTTTGTGACCAATACCATTGGGAAGGTCCGTGCTCAGCTGGGTGGCATGCTACCACTTCAGAAAACCATCAGGCTGATGGAGTCGGACATCGATTTCCAGTTCTTTGTGGAGGAACTCTTCTCTGTCGAGGAGTCTGCAACTGGAAATCAGCCCAGCATCTTCCACATTGATGTGTCTCCAGTGGTGAGTGCCTGGACAAGAAGAGGTGGTGGAACACAGAAGACCCTACACACAAGGGAGGGGGAGGAGGAGGGGGTGAAAACTCAGTTGTAGCAGCGTGTTTTGGAAGACTTCCACACCAATTTTGGGGTGTTTCTCTTTCCCTCCCAGGTATCAAAGGGTCTCTACCGGCTGCTGATTGAGCTGTGCATCCTGCGGCACATCCAGAGGCCTGACGGCTTTGTCTGGAAGTGCAAAGCTTCTCATCTTTACTTGATTGAGTATTTGGCAAGAGGGAAAAGTGTCAGCAGTACAAGGAAGAAAGAGGTATCCTGGGGGATCTGCACTCACGCAGGAGGAACCATTCAGGCTGAGCAACCTCAAGGCCATGCTACCATTCAGCAAGGCCTTGATAGGCTGGAGAAATGGGTTTAGAGAAACTTAATGAGGTTCAACAAGAGCAAGTGGAGGAGGAAGAACCCCAAGTACCAGTACAGGTTGGGGGCTGCTCTACTAGGAAGAGAAGGACCTGGGAGTATTGGTGGATGGCAAGTTCACTACAAGCTGGCAGTGTGCCCTTGCAGCCCAGAGGGACAAGAGTCTATTGGCGTGTGACCAGCAGGTCGGGGGAGGTGATCCTCCCCCTCTGCTTGGCCCTAGTGAGGCCACTTCTGTAGCACCGTGTCCAATTCTGGGCTCCTCTGTACGAGAAAGACAAGGAGCTACTGCAGAGGGTCCAGCAGAGGCCAGAAGGGTGATCAGGAGTCAGATCAATATCTCAAGGTGGTTGCCAGGAGGATGGTGCCAGACGCGTTCCAGTGGTGCCCAGTTGACAGGATGAGGTGCGATGGCCATAAACTAAAACACATCCTCAACATGAGGAAGAGCTTGTTTATGTGAGGGTGGCAGAGCCCTGGCACAGGCTGCCCAAGGGGGTTGTGGAGTCTCCCTCTCTGCAGACATCCCAAACCCACCGTGGACACGTTCCTGTGTGCCCTGCTCTGGGTGGCCCTGTCTTGGCAGGGGGGTTGGACTGGATGACCTCCAGAGGTTCCTTCTAACACTAACAGGCCTTGGGTTCTGTTTAGTCTACTAAACTCTGGTGTCTCCACCAGAGCTCTGCAGTATATAGAGTCTGCTTCTCCAGTGGGACAAAGTCTGACCCACACAGAAGCAACCAGATCACTACTAAAAGGGAAATATCAGGCCCTGCACTCAGCTTTGGAGTTAAAAAAGGAGCTTTTTCATCCTATTTCTCCTGTCTCTTGGACCTCAGTCATGTTTTCGAAACCAGTTCACACTCGAGCTGTGCTTTAGAGCTCCCCTATGGTAGTAGAGCATACCTCTATGTTATGAAACCTACCCCAGACTCACTAGTAGTTGATCATCCACCTGTGGTTCCTCACCATCCCTTCAATATTGGCTGAGTTCAGGTCCCTCCATCTCCAAAAGGATTAGTGGAATGGGAGAACATATAGGAGAAGATCACCCAATCCAAGGTAGGATGCTGGGCAAGACAGACCTTACTGGTTATTGGGATGCTCCATCCTGGCAGTGAGCAAGGCCAGGGTGGATGGGGCTTGGAGCAACCTGGTCTACTGGAAGGTGTCCCTGCCTATGGCAGGGGGTTGGAACTGGTGGGGCTTAAGGTCCTTTCCAACCCAAACTATCCCATGGTTGTATGACTTCAGTCCATTTGTAGGAATCTTGGCATTTCCACATTTGCTCCCAACTTTCTGAACCATTTATAACCAGGAGGGAATTAAAAAGGGTGTTCTGATAATGTAGGCAAAGTAGGGAGGTTGGAGACCTACCCTCACGGTGATTTGTGTCCTCTTCTTGTAGATGTCCATTGAAACGGAAAAAAGAATCCTGGATCTTTTTCCTACCGTGGAGTGCATATCACCACTGCAGGTGCTCAATCTGCTGGAACATCCCAGCCCCGTCCCTCCTGCAGAACCCAGGGAGGAACAGTTTGACCGGGACAAGCTAAACAGTGAAGTTTTCCAGAGGTCCTACCAATACCTCATCAGATACAAACAGAAGGAAAACCTTGACTATTTCACTTTTGTCCCTAGCAAAGTGTCAGGGGCAGAGAAAGAATGCCTGCAGTGCTTGATGGAGTTCTGTGGGAGAAGCAACCCCTCCTGGACCGAGCTCAGCAACTTTACCCACTTCTTGAACTTCCAGCTACAAAAGTGTGAGAAATCGATTTTCTGCAGCCCGGTGGTTGGAGCAGACTTCTCTGGCTTCAAAACATTCGTCATCAAGTTCATGATCACCATGTCCAAGGACTTTGCCATGCCATCCCTCAACGTGTCTGATGAAAGTGTGCCCAGAGAGGAGGGGAAGGAGATGGATGATGTTCTGAGGGACCACCAGCTAAGACGCCGGTGGGAACAGGAGTCTCACCCTTATGTAGTCTTCCATGCTGAGGGTGACTCCATGGAGTTTTTGGGGTTCCATATCAACAAGAATCTTGATGCTATTGATGCTTACTCCAAGGCCGTTTTGGAAACAGCAGTTCTGAGCAAGAACTTATACATCACCTTGAAGCTCCAGAACGTTCCTTTCAATAAGGAATTCGAAAAGTTATCCAGGCCCGAGCAATTGGAAGCCCTCTGCAGGGTCTTTGGGGTGAAATGCCAGGAAGATCCAGATCCTTCATACCAGCTGACCCTGGACAACACCATGAAGATGTTGGCTATCCACCTGCGGTTCCAGTGTGGCATCCCTGTGATCATCATGGGTGAAACAGGCTGTGGGAAGACAAAGCTGGTGCAGTTCATGAGCAACCTGCAAAGGGCAGGCAGGAAACTCCAGAACATGGTGGTGGTACGTGTTCATGGTAGCACCACCTCCAAGGCTATCTGGGAGAAGGTGAGGATGGCCGTGGAGCTGGCCCGCTTCAATGAGGAAGAGCACAACGTGGACACGGTGCTGTTCTTTGATGAAGCAAACACCTCAGAGGCAATCTTTGCCATCAAAGAGGTGCTCTGTGACCGCAGTGTCAACGGCAAGAGGATTCCCACTGACCGCTTAAAAGTGGTGGCTGCTTGCAACCCTTACAGGAGGCACACCAAGGCCACCATTGAGAAACTGGAGAAAGCTGGCTTGGGATACCGAGTGCGGAGTGAAGACACTCCAGAGAAGCTGGGTTACATCCCCCTGCGGCAGTTGGTGTACCGGGTGCAGCCCCTTCCTCCCAGTTTATTGCCTCTGGTCTGGGACTTTGGGGAGCTGAACGAGAAGACACAAAGCCTGTACATCAGGGAGATTGTGAAGTCCACAGTGGAGACCAAGATCCCCGCTGGGAACCTGGATGTCTTCACCAATGTCATCTCAGCCTCCCAGAAGTTCCTGAGGGGGAGGAAGGATGAGTGCCGGGTGGCCAGCCTCCGGGACATAGAGCGCTGCATGCAAGTCCTGCTCTGGTTTTATGACTTAAGAGAGCTGCTCTTCCACGAGGTTGATAAGAAGAGGCAGCTGCACGAAGAGGAAGAGGAGCCAACCTTCAATGATGCACAAAGGGCTTTGGTCCTTTCAGTGGGGGTCTGCTATTATGTGTCTCTGGAGAATCGCCAAGAATACCTGGAGGAGATTGCCAAATGCTTCTTTGTCCCTGCATCCCGGCTACAGCAAGAGATTGAGCTATGCCAAGAGGTGTTCCTGGATAACATCACCATTCCCAAGGCTACAGCCTGCAACAATGCTCTGAGGGAGAACATCTTCATGATGATTGTCTGCATGGACCTCCGGGTGCCACTCTTTCTGGTTGGGAAGCCGGGAAGCTCCAAATCTCTCTCCAAAACCATCGCTGTAGATGCCATGAAAGGCCCGTGGTCTAGCAAACCGTTGTTCAAAGCATGCAAAGAGGTCCAGCTGATCTCCTTCCAGTGCAGCCCTCATTCAAAACCAGAAGGCATCATCTCCACGTTCCAACAATGTGCTCAGTTCCAGAAGGGTAAGAATCTGAATGAGTTTGCTTCTGTGGTCCTGCTGAATGAAATTGGCCTTGCAGAAGACTCACCTGACATGCCCTTGAAGGCACTGCATCCTCTTCTAGAAGATGGATGTGTTGACGATGAGGATCTGGAGGCTTACAAGAAAGTTGGCTTTATGGGGATCTCCAACTGGGCCTTGGACCCTGCCAAAATGAACAGGGGCCTCCTTGTCTTTCGGACTGAACCTAACGAGGAGGAGCTGGTGAAGACTGCCAAAGGCATCTGCGCTGACCAGCCCCATGGGGACAGGATTGAGCATTTGTTCCCCATCTTGGCAAAATTCTACCTCAAAGTGCTGCAAACGCAGCCAACAGAATTCTTTGGGCTTCGGGACTTCTACAGCTTAATCAAAACGGTCATGTCCTACACACAGGACATGAAGTGCAGTTCTCAGGAGGAGCTCCTCATAAGGGCCATTCAGAGAAACTTTGGAGGTTCCAGAGATATCTATCCACTGGGAATCTTCTGTAACTGCACCAGCGAGTTCCGGCTCTCCAGTGAGAAGAAAACCAGCTGCATCCGTCTGTTGGAGGAGAATATGGCTCCGCAGCAAAAGGGAGCCATATCCCGGTACCTCCTGCTGCTGACGACCAACAACGCTGCCTTCCAGATCCTCCAGATGATGCGGCTCATCGATACCAGCAACTGCGACGTCATCTTCGGCTCCGGTTTCCCCCAGGACCAGGATTACTCCCAGGTGTGCCGCTCTGTGAACAGGGTGAAAACGTGCATGGAGATCGGCAGGCCTGTGATCCTCCTCAACATCCAGAACCTTTACGAGAGCCTTTATGACACCCTCAACCAATGCTTTGTCAGCCTGGGGGATAATTTCTACGTTGACCTGGGCCTTGGTACCCATGCTGTGAAGAGCCGCGTGAAGGAGGAATTCCGGCTGGTTGTTATAGAGGAGCAGGAAGTGGTCTACAGGCAGTTCCCCACTCCTCTGCTGAGCCGTCTGGAGAAGCATTGCTTGAACATGAACACCATCCTCAACCTGCAACAGCAAGACTTGAGGCAGGATCTGAACCAATGGGTCACATGGTTTGTCAGCATCCAGAAGCCCGATTTGTTCAGCGGATGGTCCCACACTCTCGCTCCCGAGGATGTCTTCATCGGCTTCAGTGGTGACACGGCTGCTGCCATCGTGCTGGAGAGCTCCCAGCACATCCACTGCGGAGCCTATGAGCGCTACGGAGAGCCAGTCCTCTCTGCTGCCAGAAGCAGACTGGTGGAGTGTGCCACCCCTGACTCCATCCTGCGCCTCAAGAGCTCCATTCTGAAGAATGCTGAGCAGATCCAGGACCTGTATTTCATCGAGCAGAAGCACAACGGCCTGGCCAGTCTCTTAGGGGAGTTGATGAGCCAGCAGGAGAAAGGGAGCACCACCGGGCTGTGCCTGCAGGTACTCGTGCTTGGCTGTAAAGCACCCAAGGGTGCTGTTTGTGTTCCAAGTGAGCATGGTGGCCCTGTCCCTGGCAGTGTTCAAGGTCAGGTTGAAGGGGGCTGTGCGCAGCCTGCTCTAGTGGAATGTGTCCCTGCCTGTGGCAGGGGTTGAAATTGGATGAGCTTTAATGTTCCTTCCAACCCAAACCATGCCATGATTCTATGATGGCCACTTGATCTTGGTTGGACCAGGAAGATGATGGGCTTGTGTCCCCTCTGTGATCATCTACAGCCCTTGCTCTTGAGGCAGATGGGACCTACTCAGTGGACCTTCCAGTTGCCTGGAGATGAGCACCAATCACCAACAGAGATGCCCCAGAGTAACCCACCCTTTTTAGGCATCATGACATCCAGGTTTGCCATGCCTTTCTGCTGCAGGTTTCTACCCACGCCAGGCTGCTCAACCAGAAGGATGTAGAAATGCTGAGGAAGATGCTTGACCTCCCCAACACAACTCGCTGCCTTTTCCTAAGCCAGTTTGACACCGAACATGCTTTCCGTCAGGACCTCAGGTGAGCTTTGATGTTTCTTTCCTTCAGTCTTGCAGGTGATCTCCACTTCTCATGGTGCTTTGGGGGTGGGGAGAGACCTTTACAGAAGAAAACATTAAAGGAGACGTTTTCTTGTAGGAATTTCTTCCATGAGCCCCAAGAAGCCAGTTTACTCCTTGTCCAGTTTCATTTTGATGAGCCGCAGAGCAGCAAAAGACTCCTGGCCTGTGCCAAGTAAGCAGCCTCCCTTCACCCCTTCATCTTCCTTCTTCTTCCTTCACCTTTCATTGTCCTTTGTCATCCTTCCTTCTTTCTTCCTCCATTCTTCCTCTCTTCCTCCTTTCTTCCTCATTGGCGCCTTCCTCCTCCTTCCTTTCTTCTTCCAGGCAAAACACACTTCTCAGAAAACTCGAGAGCACTTTTTTTCCCCACCCTTAGGATGTGAACCGGGCTCTGCTTTAGACCGTCTGGTCTCATTTGCCCCTGGGGTTGTAGCAGGTTGCACCAACCATTATAGAATCATCTCATCCAGTTCTAATCCCTGCCACGGGCAGGGACACATTCCACTAGAGCAGGTTGCTCCAAGCCCCTGTGTCCAACCTGGCCTTGAACACTGCCAGGGATGGGGCAGCCACAGCTTCTCTGGGCACCTTGTGCCAGCTCCTCAGCACCCTCACAGGACAGAGCTTCTTCCTTATATCCTGTCTAATTCTTCGTCTTCCAGTTGGAAGCTGTTAGTCCTTGTCCTGTCCCTACACATTGTTGTAGAAGCCCCTCTCCAGGTTTCCTGCAGCCCCTTTAGGCACTGGAGCTGCTCTAAAGTCTTCCCTTAAGGAGCCTTCTCCAGACTGAACCAGCCCAGCTCCCTCAGCCTGGCTCCAGAGCAGAGCTACTCCAGCCCTCTCAGTATCTCCATGGCCTCCTCTGGCCTCACTGCAGCAGCTCCACGTCCCTCTGGTGCTGCTGCCCCAGAGCTGGATCAGGACTGTAGGGGGATCTCCCCAGAGCACAGCAGAGGGAGGGAATCCCCTCCCTGAGCTGCTGCTCATGCTCTGGGGATCAGGCCATGGCTGGGTTCTGGGCTGCAAGCACATGTTAATGGCTCACCCTGAGCTTCTTATTAACCAAGACTGTCAGAAAGATCATCTTCTTGGTGTGGCATGCCCCCAAGAAAAAGCCTGTTCAGTAGACTGCAGCCTTTGCAGAAGGGTTCCTGAGGGGGAAGCTGCAGCCGTTGCTTGGAGAGATCAGTCAAATCTGGAATCAGCCAGCTCTGACCTTCTGATGCTTCCAGGTACTGCATCACTGACGAGCGACAGAGGTCGGCCAGCCCCTATCTGCTGCACGTGGTGCTGATCACTAAAGTCCCGCGGGTCCTGGGCGGGTGCCGCTACCTGGCTTTCGACAGTGGTAAGGCCATTCTTGCAACCTGGGTTGGGAAAAGAGTTGGAAGGGAGGATGAAGGTTTGCAGAGAAGACCTGTGAGGTGGTGGAGATTCTCTCACCTCCTTCCTGCCCAGGCTATCTGGTAAATCCAAGCAGCCAAGCTCCCTGGGTTTCCAAATGGCTGATGCACCAAAAGAGAGCAGATGGGCTGATCCATCTTCTTACCTGGCCAGGTGACTGGAAGTCCATCCACTTGGATGAGCTAATGCCCCCAGAGAACTTTAAGGCCAATCTTGGCCAGCTCTCCAAAATGACCATTGCTGAGATTTTCACAAGCAGCTCCCTGCAGCATCTCCCAACAGGTAAGAAAGTCTCTCACCATAAATCCACCATCTCCCCACTGCTGTCCCCTCCAGAAACCCACTGCCCCATCCTTAGATGTCCCACCTGTGGATAAGCCCCATTCTTCAACTAAATGCTTGGGCAACGGGGCAGAAGCGGTTGGATCCATCATTGCAAAACAACTCCAGGGGGCTCCTTGAATCCATGTTCTTCCTTCAAGGTGTCCAGCCAATTGCTCCCCAAGCCAGAAGGTCTCGTGTCACCAAGAAGCTGACACTGAGCTGCTGGGTGACTTCCAACCCAGTGTTGCTTTATTTCTCCCTGTTGATTATGGCAGTGCTCAAGGCCGGGTTGGACGGGGCTTGGAGCAAGCTGCTCTAGTGGAAGGTGTCCCTGAGCATGGCAGGGGATTGGAACTCTATGAGCTTTAATGTCTCTTCCACCCAAACCATTCCATGATTCTCAGGTTAGATCTAAGGAAGAAGTTCTTTACTGTGAGGGCGCTGAGACACTGGAACAGGTTGCTAAAAGAAGTAGTAAATGCTCCATCCCTGGCAGTGTTCAAGGCCAGGTTGGGTCTAGTGTGAGGCATCCCTGCCCATGCCAGGGGGGTTGGAACTGGATGATCTTAAAGTCCTTTCCAACCCTAACTATTCTAGGATTCTATGATTACTGAGGGACTCACAACACCTCCTGTGGGTGGAAGTATCTTGTCTTGGTGATTTGAGAGCTGAGTTGTGTGGTTGATTGTGATTTCAGGTTCTTCAGAGGATTCTGCTGCCCTGGGAATCCTCACTGAGTCAGGTCTTCACCCAGAAGAAAATGTATGGTTTCTCCTTTTTCTCTCTCCCCATTTTTGTTGCTTATCACTGGGCAAGGACTGATGTGGGGCTCAACAGACACCTTGGGATCTGCTTTTGAAGTTTGTTGCTTGGCCTGTGCCTTGTCACAGGGAAGAATCACGCAGGTCTTCCTGGTGATGTTGGGATTTTGAAGGAGGGTGACGGTCTCCCAGCCCCACTGTGAGCGACTGGCACAAGACCAGGAGCCTTTAGCCCCCACCACCAAAGCCTTGTCCCATTAGCAGGGACATCAGCAGACCCCCATAGCCCAGGGACTGCCTTAGCCAGGGTTTATTGGGAAGGTGAGATGGGTACAGAGCTTGGAGCCCACTCTGTTAAGTTCTGGAGAAGATGACGTCCCAGGAAAAGTGTCCCCAGGCAAATGAGAGCAAAGTAGTATCAAGCAATCAACTGACTTCCAGTCTTTTCTAGCCACAGTTTCTCAATGTGGATGCAATGATCAAAGGGAGCATCCAGAAGGCCGTGGTCCAGCTGGAGGACAAGAGGGACAACAGCCAGCGTCCAAGAGAGAGAGTCAAGATCCTTCACAACCTGCTTTTCCACCCTCAGAGTAGAGGTAAGACTGAGTAGAGAGAACTACTAGCGGCTCATTCTTGCAGGTAGCAAGCTGTGTGGCTGGCAGAAGACATCAAGCAGGTTAAGGGCCAGTTTTAGTGTCTCTCAAAGCCATTGTGGGTGGAGAAGAACCCATAAGACAGAGGACAAGGTTGCATGGGGCTTCCACCACCTCCCTGCACTGTCCCTTATGGGCATGACCCAGATTCGTGCTAAACCACCAAGCTTGCTGCAGGCCTTGGTAGATTTTCCCAGCGCGATATCACTTGCCAGTGGAATTTGATTTCTGCATAGGACTGAGAGAAGAACTTGAGGTGGTGGGATTTTTGAGTGGAGAACTGGCAACTAAAACCACTTACAGGGTTTTGATGAAGTCTCCGACTTGGAGATGTGGACCAAGAGGGTTTTAACCAGTCTGGTTTTGTCATTAGTTTCCAGCCACTTTATGACCATCCTGAGGAAGAGAGTTTGTTACCTCCTCCACGAGCGTGAGAAATCCATGCAAGATCCAAAGGAATGGGTTTTCCACAGGGCATTCTCCACTGAATTCATCCTGGAAGACACGTCCTTCAGGTAGGGCTGGCTGTGGGCCACCTCCCCCATGTCAGGTAACCCTGTTCCTAAAACTGCTCTGCATGAAGTGTGAGGCCCTTTGCTTAAAGACAAAATGTGACAGCCAAGAAATGTAAAAATACAAGCTGCTCTAGTGGAAGGTGTCCCTGCCCATGGCAGGGGGTTGGAACTTGATTGTCTCTAAGGTCCCTTCTAAGCCAAACCAATCTAGGATTCTAGCCTAGGACAGGGTAGGTGCTGCTGAAAAGTCATCATCCCAAAAGCCCCCTAAAAAAACCTGTAAGAGGACTGTTGATTTTGAGGAGCCTTCTTTTGGAAGGGCTCTTCTGGCAGCAATGTTGGTTGACATTGAGATAGACAAGGACGGGTTTATGTCAAGCCTGGATGTCCACACTGGGCGTCTTCCGAATCACAGAAGCATTGAATCGAGGTTGGAAAAAAACATATAAGTCATCATCAAGTCCAATTGTTGCCCCAGCACTGCCAAGGCCACCTCTAACCCATGGCACTGAGGGCCTCGTCTACACAGTGTGTGAACACTTGCAGGGACATGACTCCAGCGCTGCCCTGGGCAGCCTGCTCCAATGCCTGAGCACCCTCTGAGGAAGGAATTGTTCCTCATCTCTATCTAAACCTCCCCTGGTGCAGCTTGAGGCCATTTCCTCTTGTCCCATCCTTTGTTCCTTGGGAGCAGATGCCAGCCCCCTCCTGGCTCCATCCTCCTGTCAGGCAGTTGTAGAGAGCAATAAGGTCCACCTTGAGCCTTCTCTTCTCCAGACTAAACCCCCTAGGTCCCTCAGCCATTCCCCATCACACTTGTGCTCCAGGTCCTGCACCAGCACCTCAATGTCTTTCTCGTAATGAGGGACCCAGCACTTTGCCTTGTTGAACCTCGTGCAATTGAACCTCACGTGACTGGAATATAGTCATGAAGGGCTATGTCCTTTTCAGGAAAGACAGGCCAGCCAGGCGGGGTGATGGGGATGCTCTTTATGTGCGAGAGCAACTACAATGCACTGAGTTCTGTCCAGGGACAGATGACAAGCGAGTTGAGAGTCTGTGGGTGAGAATTAAGGGGCAGGCTGGCAGGGGCGATACGGTTGTGTGTGTCTGTTACAGACCACCAGATCAGGGTGAGGAAGTTGACGAGGCCTTCTACAGGCAGCTGAGAGCGGCCTCACAGTCACAGGCCGTGGTCGTCGTGGGGGATTTTAACTTCCCTGATGTTTGCTGGAAGGATCACTCACAACCCAGCCGCAGTCCAGGAGGTTCCTCCAGTGTATGGATGATAACTTCCTCCTGCAAATGGTGGATGAGCCAACCAGGAGAGGAGCGCTGCTGGATCTCATCCTCACTAACAAGGAGGGTCTGGTCGAAGCAGTAAGGGTTGAGGGCTGCCTTGGTTGCAGCGACCACGAGATGGTGGAATTCAGGATCTTGTGTGGTAGGACTAGTAGAATACCAAGTAGAATTGCAACCCTGGACTTTAGCAGGGCAAACTTTGGCCTTTTCAAGCAATTGCTAGGGGAAATCCCATGGGCAAGGCTGTTTGAAGGTAAAGGGGCCCAAGATAGTTGGTTGGCATTCAAGGATTGCTTTTTCCGAGCTCAAGATCAAAGCATCCCGACACGTAGGAAGTCAAGGAAGAGGGCCAGGAGACCTGCGTGGCTAAATAGGGAATTGCTGGGTATGCTCAAGTGGAAGAGGGGATTTTACAGGTCATGGAAGGAGGGGCTGGCCACTTGGGAGGAATATAAGGCTGCTGCTAGAGGATGTAGGAAGGCAGCTAGGATGACTAAGGCCTCCTTAGAATTAAACCTGGTGAGAAGGGTCAAGGACAGCAAAAAGAGCTTTTTCAAATACATGGCAGATAAAACTAACACCAGAGGCAATGTAGGCCCACTGATGAACGGGATGGGTGCCCTGGTGACAGAAGATACAGAGATGGCGGAGTTACTGAATGCCTTCTTTGTCTCTGTCTACTCTGCTGCAGGCAGTCCTGAAGAGCCCTGTACCCCTGAGACCTTAGATGAAGTCAGGTCAATGGAGCAGTTTGCCTGAGCCGATGAGGAATGGGTTAGAGACCAGTTGAGCAATCTGGACATCCATAAATCCATTGGTCCAGACGGGATGCACCTGCGGGTGCTGAGGGAACTGGCGGAAGTCATTGCTAGACCACTCTCCATCATCTTTACCAAGTCTTGGGAAACGGGAGAGGTGCCTGAGGACTGGAGGAAAGCAAATGTCACTCCAGTCTTCAAAAAGGGCAAGAAGGAGGACCCGGGTAACTATAGACCGGTCATCCTCACCTCCATCCCTGGGAAAGTGATGGAACACCTTGTCCTTGGTGCCATCTTAAGGCATATCAAGGATAAGAGGGTTGTGAGGGGCAGTCAACATGGCTTCACCAGGGGGAAATCATGCTTGACCAATCTCTTAGCCTTTTATGAGGAAATAACACGGTGGATGGATGATGGCAGAGCGGTGGATGTGGTCTACCTTGACTTCAGCAAAGCATTTGACACAGTCTCCCACAGCATCCTCACAGCTAAATTGAGGAAGTGTGGTCTGGATGATCAGGTAGTGAGGTGGACTGCGAACTGGCTGAAGGAGAGAAGCCAGAGAGTTGTAGTCTATGGGGCTGAGTCTAGTTGGAGGCCTGTAACTAGTGGAGTGCCTCAAGGGTCAGTACTGGGACCAGTATTATTTAATATATTCATCAACGATTTAGATGAGGGAATTGAGTGTACTATCAGCAAGTTTGCTGATGACACTAAGCTGGGAGGAGTGGCTGACACGCCAGAAGGCTGTGCTGCCATCCAGCGAGACCTGGACAGGCTGGAGAGTTGGGCAGGGAATAACTTGATGAAATGTAACAAGGGAAAGTGTAGAGTCCTGCATCTGGGCAGGAACAACCCCAGGTTCCAGTATAGGTCGGGGAACGACGTGTTAGAGAGCAGTGTAGGGGAGAGGGACCTGGGGGTCCTAGTGGACGACAGGATGACCATGAGCCAACACTGTGCCCTTGTGGCTAAGATGGCCAATGGCATCCTGGGGTGTATTAGAAGGGCGGTGGTTAGTAGGTCGAGAGAGGTCCTCCTTCCCCTCTACTCTGCCCTGGTGAGACCCCATCTGGAATATTGTGTCCAGTTCTGGGCCCCTCAGTTCAAGAAGGACAGGGAGCTGCTGGAGAGAGTCCAGCGCAGGGCAACCAAGATGATTAAGGGAGTGGAGCATCTCCCTTATGAGGAAAGACTGAGGGAGCTGGGTCTCTATAGTTTAGAGAAGAGGAGACTGAGGGGTGACCTTATTGGTGTATATAAATATATAAAGGGGGAGTGCCACGAGGATGGAGCCAGGCTCTACTCAGTGGCAAACAATGATAGGACAAGGGGTAATGGGTACAAACTGGAACACAAGAGGTTCCACTTAAACTTGAGAAGAAACTTCTTAGTGAGGGTGACAGAACACTGGAACAGGCTGCCCAGGGAGGTTGTGGAGTCTCCTTCCCTGGAGACATTCAAAACTCGCCTGGACACATTCCTGTGTAACATTATCTAGGTGTTCCTGCTCCGGCAGGGGGATTGGACTAGATGATCTTTTGAGGTCCCTTCCAATCTCTAGCATACTGTGTATTACTGTGTATAATTGGCCACAGCCCATGGATCCAGTGTGGCCAGATCCCTCTGTAGAACCTTCTTCCACTCCAACAGATTAACATTCCCACCCAGAGAAGAGTTGGGTTGTTTTGGTTGATTTGAGGGTCTTCAAGACTGATGGCCTCCCCTTGGCAGATGAGGGTTTATGGTGGGAAGTGATGTGATGAACCAGGTCAACTCCTTTTCCAGGCAAGCCCTCTGGACGCACCTGGAGGGCATCGTGGCCAACATCTTTGCCCAGATTCTCGCTGTGGTGGACGCCAACAACAACCTGGATCTCCTCTTGCGAGGCTCTTCGCTGCCAGAACTGTGGCTCCAGATGTTCCAAGAAGAAACATTCCTAAAGATTAAGTACACCAACAAGTAAGAGACAGGTTGTGAATGACGTGGGTGAGGGGGTCTTCCTTAGGAGAGTAGAAGCTGGTGTTTGTAGTGAAACAGCAGCTCATGCTTGGGGTGCAATGTTTGTAACCTGGCCATGGAAGTTCCTGAGTGTCAAGACCCTGGCACCAACACTTCCCTGTTGTTCTAAGCTGTCAGCAGAACTGGCTCCTTCCCTGCTCTTGCCCACTTTTCCCTGACTTTCCTACCAGGTTTCTCCACAGGTTTCTGAACTCTGAAGAGAACGTCAGCAGGAGTTGGCAACGTCACCTGGCTGCTCCATCTCTGAACACCTACAGGCTGTTGCACAATTTAATCCTTCTTTCTGTTGTAATTCAAGGGCAGCAGATGCCAAGTTTTCTGTGTTATCTATGACCGAAGACCCAAACATCTCCCTCTTCTGCCAATTCCCATTCAGCTGGGTTTTGAAAGCCTACCTAGACAATGTCTGGGAGAAGGTCTATCATATGAAAGGTAATATCAGCCTTTCCAGGGGGAGCTTTAACCCAACTAGACTGCTCAAAATCCACATCCTTACCAGGAGGGACCATGGGGGCTGTATTCCTCCCTCCAATCATGTTCTACATCTCTTCTGCATTGTATTTCCTCTTCCTATGACAGCATTGGGCCTCTTCACCCATTGCCTTGCACTCAGCCACATGTCCACCTCAGTCTTGAGGAGGAGCTCACATTTTCAGCCAAGCTGCCAGTGTGATGTAGAATCATAGATGTAGTCACTGTCCCTTCTAGATCAGCCCCAGAAGCCAACGGAGGAAGTGGCCAGGTTCTACCAAACCTTCATCAAGAACATCTTGACGCCAGATAGCAGCAATCCAGACATGCTACGCTGTTACGCCAATGACTTCCTCAGGATGGCTTTTCCTGGACAAGATTTCTCTGTCTATGAGGTCAGTAAGGTTGGGTAGAGCACTAGCCTGAACTGGCCTTGGAATAAAACCCCAGTGAAAACCTCAATGGATACTCCATACAACTGCTCACCCCTGCTGCCTGTCCTGAGCAGTGATTGGTCCTTCCAGCTAACTTTCCCCAGTTTATATACCGGAGAGGATGCTCTGTGATATGGAATATGACTTTGGCTAGTTTGGGTCAGGTTTCTGATTGTGTCTTCTCCCAACATCTTGTGTCCCTCCTTACAGGCAGAGCATGAGAGACTGAGAAGTCCCTCATGAGACTGAGCCCTGCTGAGCAGCAACTAAACCATTGGTGTGTTACCAGCATTATGTTCATCCTACATCCAAACCACAGCCCTATCCCAGCTACTGGGGAAAAAAATTAACTATCTCAGCCAAAACCAGGACAGTGACCAAATCTGATGTTCCTCAGCTGTGAGGAACCTTTGGTCTTAACTCCACCTTGAGAACTATTTGTGATGGAGAAACTTCCAATGGGCCACAACAGCAATGCTGAACAACCCACTTCAGTCCATTTGCTGTTGGCTTTGAGTGGAAATAACACCTTTTATCCCACCTGCAGGTTCTCTCCAAGGTCTTCCTGGCCACCGCAGGCCAGCTCTGCTCCTCCTTGGGCCTGGGGGAGATGGACTTTTCCCCAGTTTGGCTTCACATGGACTATTTCTACCTCCGGGATGATTATCAGCTATTTGTGGACATAGCAAAAAGCAATGACACTGTCATAAGTGAGCTGCAGGCAATGTATGAGAAGAACCCCCCAGAAATGGTGAGCAGAGAGCTGTGTGTGCCTTCAGACCATTCTCCTAGGGTATTTGAATGTTGGTGGTCTTCACAGCTTCCATAATTCAATTACATCCTCTGTAATTAGTAAGACATCCTTGTGTTTGTGCTGCTCTGGGTACCAAGTTGGAGACATCTTTGACCCTAGATGTGGGTGGAATTCATTGTGTCACGATCCAGTGGTGGGTTCTAGCTCCTTCATTGTGGAGTGATGTCCACATCCCTCCTTCAAACAGCAAGCCATGGTTTCTAGAGAAACTCCCTGTGGTGACTTCAAGATCCTTCTTTCTCCTCAGCATGGTTGGACTCATTAAAACCCTTCCTGGTTTGCTGATGGCAGACCTTCACCTCTGAAAGTCCAGCTTAGCCCTGTCAGCTACTCCAAAAGCTATACCAGGATCTCATCATAGAATCCCAGACTGGTTTGGGTTGAAGGGACCTTAAAGCTCATTCAGCTCCAGCCCCTGCCATGGGCAGGGACACCTTCCACTAGAGCAGCTTGCTCCATGCCCCTGTGTCCAACCTGGCCTTGAACACTGCCAGGGATGGGGCAGCCACAGCTTCTCTGGCACTCTGTGCCAGTGCATCAGCACCCTCACAGGGAAGAGCTTCTTTATATCCCATCTAATTCTTCCCTCTTCCAGTTGGAAGCTGCTACTCCTTGTCCCACCCCTACATGCTGTTGTAGAAACTCCTCTCCAGCTTTCTTGTAGGTTCCCTTTAGGGAAGGGGAGCTGCTCTAAGGTCTCCCCAGAGCCCTCTCCTCCCCCTGTACCACCCCCACAGTGAGCTCAGTTCCTTCCCTCAACTCCATTCCTCTCTTTTTGTACATGTCGTTCCAGTTTGTCACTCTGGATGCCTTGAACATCCTCCTGGAGAATGTGCAGCCCTGTGAAAACAGGCTTTTGCCCTTCGATGCCTCAGTAGCATGGCTCAAAAGTGTCAAGTCCATTAAGCCCTGGATGGAATGGATCAGTGAGGACAACTACCAGCTTCATTTCTACCAGAAGAAGCAGCAGCTCCTGGAGAATGTGCTGTAAGTTCAGTCATTCTCCACTGGCAGTAGAGCAAGCAAACCTTCTAATGTCTGAAAGTCAGGTGATGAACTGAAGCGACCATCCTCTTGGGGAGCTGGAGACACAAGTCCTCTTAACTGTCCCACTCCTTCCTGGTCCTTCTGGAGTCACAAGCATGATGGCAAAGTGTCGTGGTTTAAGCAGGACAAAAAGTGGCTTCAAAAAAAAAAAAAAAAGGTTTCTGGGGTGGGATAAGATGGTCTCTCCAAAAAGACAATACTCAGAAGGCCCAAGGTTGGTTATAACAAGTAGGACCATGCTATCTAATCCTCCTAGTACTGTCTCAGAAGGTCCTCAATGCTCACAGGAGGAGTCACAGCAGCACTGGTGGGAAGGGAGTTCAGCAGGTCTGTGGTCCAACCTGATTGTCATCCTTTGGGGTGGGTGTTTTACAGACATCGCTGGCACTGCACCAACATTGTCTACATGTTGATTGACCACCTGCTGCACAATGAGACACAAATGGAGGAGAAACTCCTGCGGCTTGTGGTGAAGCAGTTCATCTTCCTCTGGAATGTAGGTTTTTCTGGGCTGGGAAGCTTGGGAGGGCTTTTTCTGCAGTCCCAGCTCTAGGGAGACCTCAGGAAAGAAGAAAGGCTGGAAATACCATCCAAAAGACAAATCCAAATAGGATTCAGAATTCAAAATGAGGATTTGGAATTGAGGAAGCTTCCTTGAGAAGGAAGTGACCTTGATCCACATCACTACCCTCAGATGTCCATGTAGTGACATCCATACACGGATCTGCTTGGTTCTCCTGCCTAGGCCTGTGTCCTTTCGGCACTGCCATCCCATAATATTTCTCCTCCATGTCCCAGAGAGATGTTTGTGCTGAGCTTGGACTGTGGGTTTCTTTTACAGCGCCTCTATACAAAGCTTCTGCCGGGCTCTGAACCAGAGAAGACTTTTGATTTGGTGGTGAAAGTGCTGAAGAAATGCAATGAGAATGCTGACATGGTGTATCTGGTGTAAGTGCAAGCAGAAAAGAAGTTGACCTTGGGGTCCTTCTCCATTGCTGTGTTTGTAAAGGGGGGGTCAGCACTCGGGGTGAACCTCTTTGGGTCAAAGGGAGGCCGCACTGGTGCAGAACTGGTTGAGAACCTGTCTTGGAGGTGATGAGTAAAACCGAATCAAAACTCTGGAGGTCTCTGGAGAAGCTTCTCTTAGGTGTGGTGATAAAGAAATCAGCTCCCCTGAGCACCCAGGTTTTTGTCCCCTTCACTCAGCCATCCTCAACATGATTAAGCTCCCCTTAATCCATCAATGCATGCTGGAGTCCAGAACCTTGTCCTGGGCTGCACCCCCAGAGCATGAGCAGAGCAGCAGGGAGGAGATTTTTTCCCTTTTCTGTGCTCTGGAGAGATTCCCCCTGAAGTCCTGATCCAGCTCTGGGGCAACATCGCCAGGGGGACGTGGAGCTGCGGGAGCGAGTCCAGAGGAGGCCACGGAGATTCTGTGAGAGCTGGAGCAGCTCTGCTCTGGAGCCAGGCTGAGGGAGCTGGGCTGGTTCAGCCTGGAGAAGACAAGGCTCCCTAAGAGAAGACCTTAGGATTCTAGAACAGTGTGTAGGGATGGGATGAAAGTAACAGGTTTCAGCTGGAAGAGGGAAGAGTTAGATGAGATAAAAGGAAGAAGCTTTTCCCTGTGAGGGTGCTCAGGTGCTGGCACAGGGTGCCCAGAGAAGCTGTGGCTGCCCCATCCCTGGCAGTGCTCAAGGCCAGGTTGGACACAGGGGCATGGAGCACCCTGCTCTAGTGGAAGGTGTCCCTGCCTGTAGCAGGGGTTGCAGCTGGGTGAACTTTAAGGTCCCTTTCAACACAAACTATGCCATGACTCTATGATACTTACGGGATTGTAGTAGATGCCTCTCTAAGGTGGGATGGTCCTCAGGCAGCTTAGAAGCTGTGGTGGGCCTTGAAGCAGTGGTGGTTCCCCTTGGTTCTCACCAGTGAGGCCTGGCCAAAGTGCCCATTCAGCCTTGCACCCATCCCAGGGTGTGCATTAGGCAGGAGCCAACCCTCCTCCAGTCTGGCAGCAGCACTGAACTCCTGCTTCTTTCCTTGGTGTCCCTCAGGAAGGGCGTGAAGGAATGCAAGAGTTGCCTACGGGAGATCACTGACCCAGCGGAGCTGCCCTGCGGTCACATCTTCTGTACTCGCTGCATCCTGGACTGGGACAACAAACAGTGTAAGATCTGCAAGGAGGAATTCCCAGAGGATTACACGCCCACTGCTTCCGAGGCCACGAGGTATCCTGCTGCTGGCAAAAACCTGCTTGCTTTGAGTGTCTTCTTGTTCAAAGTTGGATAGAAGCTGCTGAACAAATATCTGTCCACCTGAGGTCCATCTCACCTCCCTGCTTTGAGTCCTGTGCTCTGCAGGGAGAGGGACGTTGTTTCTTTTCTTAAGGTGGAGGTTGACCATGAGTCTTGGTTTTCTTCTGCCCTCCAGGGAAGCTGTTGCCTGTCACAACAAGTTCAGGAGGAAGTGCAATTCATTCTTTGTGGAGTTCATCAGCACCTACTTCCTGGGAGACAGGCAGACGCCGTCTGCCCAGATCATTCAGCGACTGCTACAGTTTGTGGCTTCCAAACCTAACCCTGAACATCAGGCATGGAGAAGGGGTAAAGGAGCTTGATTCTGCTCTACCTGGGTCTGTCCCCACCCCCTTGGAAGCACGAGTCTCCCACAACATCCTTTTCTCTAAACTGGAGATGTGTATTTTGTGGGTGGGCAGTTGGGAGGATGGGGAATTGGCTGGATGGTCACATCCAGAGGGTTGTGGTCAATGGCTCAATGGACACCAGTGACAAGTGGCATCTCTCAGGGGTCTGTGCTGGGACCACTACTCCATCAACAACAGGGACAGTGGGATGGAGTGCATTGTCAGCACATCTGTGATGACATGAAGTCATCACAAGACTGATGCAGTTGACATGCCCATGGGATGGGATCCAGAAGGACTTGGACAGGGAGCCCACGTGAACCTCATGAGGTTCAACTGGGCCAAGTGCAGGATCCTCAAAGAGGGAAGGTTCAGGCTGGACGTGAGGAAGAGCTTTTGTATAGTGAGGGTGATAAAATTCTGGAACAGGTCGCCCAGGGGGTTGGTGAATGCCCCATCCCTGGAGACATCCCAGGCCAGGCTGGATGTGTTTCTGGACAACCTGATCTAGTTGAAGATGTCCCTCCTTATTGCAGGGACGTTAAACTAGATGAGCTTTGAGGGTTCCTTCCAACCCAAACTCTTCTGTGAATCTATGATTAAGTAACAGATGTCATCCTTCTTTCTCAGCCTACAAGCCAAGAAGTGAGTTGTCACCCTTTGAGGAGTGCATGGACACCAGTCCCACCATCCAGTCTTCCCTCCTGAAGCTGCTGCTGCGATGCGGGTCAGCCCCACGGTTTCTCCCAAACCCCATTGCTGAACCTCTTGGCTATATGGAAGCTGAGGCTCTGTCTCCTTTTCTGCACCAGGTTCAACAATGTCAAGGTTTACTTGGAAGAATACTTGTCCCAGATGGAAGAAAAGATAATGTCCCACCAAAGTAATATTGACCATTTCTACTTCATGGTGGTGCACTGTCTGGAGGTGAGGGTCCCTTGAGATGCACTGGGAGTCCCAGCACCATAACATGGAAATAACATCCTCATCACATTAATTACCTCCCCCTCCATATCATCTTATGGATGAGGAGCCAAAGGAGGAGCTCACCTTGAAGAAAAGAGAAGGCCCAAGGAAGGAGGGGGAGCTGCTCGGTTCTAACCCACCTTCAGACTTAAAGATTGTCTCTCTCTTGAGCAGGATTTTATGTATTCTTCTTCTGAAGAAGACATCAACCAGCTGGCTGAGCACTGCCTCTCCACCGCAGACATAGCGGCCTTCTGCAAGCCCCAAGTCTCAAAGATCAACACCCTGGAGTTCATTGCCCAGCTCCGGCTCTCCATCAGCCACGTGGCCACTGTGCTTGGCAGATGGATGCTTCCAGGTGAGTACTGCTTGGTGTCAGATGAGAACTATGCCTACCAGCAGAAGGTCTTGAAACAGCCCCAGAAAGGTCTAACCTTGGAGATTCTTGATGGAAAATAACTGGGTTTAATAAAGGTTAATAACTTTCATGAAAGTTTAGGTTGTTTTGGACAAATTTCCAGATCTTCAGTCCCTAGACTCACTGTGGTCTACCTACATATTAAGGAGCCTTCTCACTGCCCATTGCCTGGAAGCTTGGGTAGAAGATCCTGGGTCTTCCTGCAACCTAAACAGCCATAGGGGCTGTGTTGGTGAAAGACGTGTACGATGGGCTGTGATCATGGGGACTAGGCATGACGAGAGATCTCCTTTTCTTGCAGATCCTGATGCACCCACTACAGAAAGGACTGAGAAAGAGCAAGACCTGGTGAAGGCAATGAAGAAGCTGGTTGCAAAGGCTCCAACTCCATGGCCTCAGGTGTTCCTCATCAGAAATCTCTGTGACCTCTATGGGTTCACCTCTATGTGGAAGATTCTCCAGGTGGAGAAGTGGATTCTACCCCAAGGAGTAGAAGTTTCACAGGTGAATTGTTTCTTGAGAGCCTGGTGCCAAAGCAGAGCTGAGGGTAGTGGGCAGATCCCACCCAGGGTTCCAGCCTTGAGAGAAAGGTCTTGGGGGTGTCCCCTTAATCCATCAATGTGTGCTTGGAGCCCAGAATCCCCTCTGCCATGTCCTGGGTTGCACCCCAAGAACATGAGCAGCAGGGGAGGGAGGGGATTCTCTCCTTCTGCTGTGCTCTGGGGAGACACACCCCCCCCCCACCCCCCCCCCCCCGCATTCCTGATCCAGCTCTGGGGCAGCAGCACCAGAGGGATGTGGAGGCGCTGGAGCAAGGCCAGAGGAGGCCATGGAGATGCTGCGAGGGCTGGAGCAGCTCTGCTCTAGAGCCAGGCTGAGGGAGCTGGGCTGGTTTAGCCTGGAGAAGAGAAGGCTCCTGAAGGGGAGACTTTAGAGCAGCTCCAGTGATTGAAGGGGCTGCAGGAAACCTGGAGGGGGGCTTCTACAACAACGTGTAGGGATGGGGCAAGGAGTAACAGCTTCCAACTGGAAGAGGGAAGAGATGGGATATAAGGAAGAAGCTCTGTCCTGTGAGGGTGCTGAGGCACTGGCACAGGGTGCCCAGAGAAGCTGTGGCTGCCCCATCCCTGGCAGTGTTCAAAGCCAGGTTGGACAGAGGGGCTTGGAGCAACCTGCTGTAGTGGAAGGTGTGCCTGCCCGTGGAAGGGGGATTGGAACTAGATGAGCTTTAAGGTTCCTCCCAACACAAACCAGGCTGGGATTCTGTGATTCTTAACTCATGGGGCTCCCTTCCAGTTGAGGAGAGTGACAGGTCCTCACAGGCTCTTTCTTGTGCCTCTCTTGGATGTCCTCCACTTGCTCCTCAGGATCATAAAGTTCATCTTTGTTTTTCAGTGTAGAAGAGCCTGGTCCAATACAACATTGATGTTTTGTGTGCTGGACAAAGCACAAAAACAGCTTAAAAGCCAAGTATCCACAGCAAAACAGAGCTTGACTGTGAGTATCTGTTGTGCCTCTGACAGGAAGTCTCAGGTTTGGTCTGGAAGAGTTGGTTGGTCTGGAAGTGTTGGTTAGTCTGGAAGTGTTGATTGGTCTAGAACCTCCTGGAAACAGGAGCTTTCCATCTGTCTTGATAGAGAGCTGTGTCTTCTCCCTGCTGCCAGAGGACACAAATGGGGCTTAGCATGGGCAGTGGACCTCGGGGATGAAGCCAGAAGACTCCTCACAGGCAGGTGCCATGCTGGTGGCCTTCACTTACATCTGTTTTTTTTTTCAACCTCTGTAGTCTGTCATGAGACAAATGGAGAGCATCCTCCACTTGCCATCCAGCACAGATGAGCTTCCAGGAGACAAGCTTATGAAGATTGTGGATGCTTTGGGTAATGGCGAAGACCCAGGCCTGCAAGAGGTCGTCTTCCACACTGCGCTCACTCTGGCCTTGTTCCCAAGCCACATCACTCACTTCCTCAGGAACATCAGCTTCAAGCCTAAAGTCGTGATGGTGAGTCTCCAAGGATGAGGTGGACAGCTCTCTCCATCCCATTGTACTGGTGCAATGTGTCCTGGTCAGCTTGTTGCTTTGTAGATTGTTGCTCCTCTTCCTTCTCGTTCATTGGGCTGAGAAGTAACTGTGACCATTCATCCTTGTCTCCTTCAAATGTGGATGAGATCATAGAATCATAGAATAGTAAGGGTTAGAAAGGACCTTAAAATCATCTAGTTCCAACCCCCCTGCCATGGGCAGGAACACCTCACACTAAGCCATATCACCCAAGGCCTCGTCCAACTTGGTCTTGAACACTGCCAGGGATGGAGCATCCACAACCTCCCTGGGCAACCTTTTCCAGTGCCTCACCACCCTAACAGGAAAGAATTTCCTCCTTATATACAGTCTAAACTTCCCCTGTTTAAGTTTCAACCCATTAGCCCTTGTCCTATCACTACAGTCCCTAATGAATACTCCATCACCAGCATGCCTATAGCCCCCCTTCAGATACTGGAAGGCTGCTATGAGGTCTCCAGGCAGCCTTTTCTTCTCCAGGCTGAACAGCCCCAACTTTCTCAGCCTGTCTTCATATGGGAGGTGCTCCAGTCCCCCAGTCATCCTCGTGGCCCTTCTCTGGACTTGTTCCAACAGCTTCATGTCCTTTTTATGTTGAGGACACCAGAACTGCACACAATGCTCCAAGTGAGGTTTCACGAGAGCAGAGTAGAGGGGCAGGATCACCTCCTTCGACCTGTTGGTCATGCTCCTTTGGATGCAGCCCAGGATACAGTTGGCTTTCTGGGCTGCGAGCGCACACTGAAGACAGCTCATGTTCAGTTTCTCATCAACCAACACCCCCAGGTCCTTCTCCGCAGGGCTGCTCTGAATCTCTTCTCTGCCCAACCTGTAGCTATGCCTGGGATTGCTCCCACCCAGGTGTAGGACCTTGCACTTGGCATGGTTAAACTTCATGAGGTTGGCATCAGCCCACCTCACAAGCGTGTCAAGGTCCCTCTGGATGGCATTCCTTCCCTCCAGGGTATCAACCGAACCACTCAGCTTGGTGTCATCGGCAAACTTGCTGAGGGCGCGCTCAATCCCATTGTCCATGTCAGCGACGAAGATGTTAAACAAGACCAGTCCCAACACCGATCCCTGAGGGACACCACTCGTTACTGGTCTCCAGACGGACTTTGAGCCATTGACCACAGCTCTTTGTGTGCGGCCATCCAGCCAATTCCACCACTGAGTGGTCCATCCATCAAATTGATGTTGCTCCAATTTAGAGACAAGGATGTCGTGTGGGACAGTGTCGAACCCTTTACACAAGTCCAGGTAGATGACATCAACTGCTCTACCTCTGTCCATCAGTTCTGTATCCCCATCATAGACAGCCACCAAATTGGTCAGGCAGGATTTCCCCTTAGTGAAGCCATGCTGGCTGTCACCAAGCACCTTGTTGTATTTCATGTGCCTTAGCAAAATTTACACTGTCCTAGTATTCACGGCAGGTTCCTCTGTTCAAAAGTTATTTTGCTCCTATATGTGAGGCTATAATTCTTTGAGTGTAAAGTCCAGGTCTCAAGAATAGGACCACAAACATTAGAGGTTATACTTTTCTTATACAGCCACTGGGCACAGAGAGGGAACTCTTCTTAACCCTCCCAAGTAGCCACGGTTTACTTTTGTCTACTTCTCCCCCAGAGTTTAAATCAGAAACAAGGATACAAGACAGAACAAATACTCTTCGTCTGACTCCGGCCGCACTCCTCGCGGAGAACACAGAACTGCGGATCAGGACTCCACACTTGCTTTGTAGCTATGCCACATCTCAGCCACACGCAGAATTCTTGCACACAGGGATCCCGTACACACTCACATGGTGGTTCCGCTTACCCTTCACCTGCTTCCTACACAGTCATTAGCAGGTCCATCCAGGCTCCCAAAACCTAGGATGCAGCGAAAACCTGGACTCACCCTATCTACCCTCTGTATCGCTAGCGGCCACTCTATCGGTTGTCGAGTCCCCTGCTTGCAAGCCCTACCTGCCAAGGAGAAACTATGCTGTGCGCCAGACGAATCTGCTCACCTTGCCAGCAGCCCTGGGCCACACGTACGACTTATAGACCCCCAGAATTACCCATATAAATTTCAAGCATACCATTTTCCGCAGCCGGCACAGGTTGTTGTCTGTCCCTGCAGTGAGCAGACAAGGAGAGGAGCTCCTACAGGCAAACGGCCTGGGGCACCTAGGATATCTGCTCCTTAGCCGGTCCTGCAGCTGACAGAGGTCACCTGCCTGGCTTGCCAAATTGATAAGCAGATTGACTCCACAACTCGTTAAAGTTGTAAAGTAGGTATGCTTTATTCAGCTGAGGCGCATGGGGGATAGTTCCTCCAAAGGCATGCGCACCCCAGCGTCATTTTCCCTCTACGTTTATTCTCTGAAGTGTTACATACGCAGTAGGTTACACAACACACCAATACATATACATAACCTTTTCCCACTTCATATTATAATGAGCTAAAGCCTCCTTCACGCCTGTGCAGTGCCTCCTGGTGGTCATGGGCAGAGGTCTTGAGATGAAGTAAACGAGTCTTACTCACTCTTGAACTTTTCACCTCCGTCTTGCATGCATGCTCACTAGTCCCCTGCCTTTGGCTCAAACCACAGTTCCAGTCTCAGCCAGGTCTTAACCAGATGGATGGTGCTGCAAATGCAAACTTTGACCACCAGTTCCCCTTATCCTTTCTTACACAAGTTTACATTAAACACCAGCTGCACTTTTAGACAAATACTTATTGTTAACTAAAGAGATTGAAGATAATCAGAAGAATAACATAGGTTTAACATTTGGTTATTAATTCAGGCCCCCTATCAAGCATGCCTTCCAGGAGAATCTGCTCCAAGATTTTGCCTGGCACAGAGGTGAGACTGACTTGTCTGTAATTCCCTGGGTCATCCAATTTCCTCTTCTTGAAAATGAGGGTTATATTTCCCTTTTTCCAGTCATCAGGAACTTCACCTGACTGCCCTGATTTTTCAAATATGATGGACAGTTACTTAGCAACTTCATTTGCCATCTCCTTCAGGACCTGCACATGGATTTCATCAGGTCCCATGGACTTGTGCATGTTCGGTTTTTAAGATGGTCTCAAACCAGATCCTCTCCTACAGTGGGCCTAAGGTCTTCATTCTCACAGTCCCTGCGTCTGTCTTTCAAGACTTGGGTGGTTTGGTCAGAGCCTTTGCCAGTGAAGACTGAGGCAAAGAAGTCATTCAGAACCTCAGCCTTCTCCAAATCCAGGGTAGCCAGTTCTGCCGATAGCTTCTGGAGGGGGCCTACGTTGTCCCTAGTCTGTCCTTTATTCGCTACATACCCATAGAATCCCTTCCTGTTATCCTTAACTTTGCTAGCCGAGTTTAATTCTAGCTGGGCCTTAGCTTTCCTAACCTGGTCCCTAGCTTCCCAGACAACATCCCTGTATTTTTCCCAGGCCACCTGTCCTTGCGTCCACTTTTTATAAGCCTAAGCCTTATAAGCATAAGAGATGTGGGGTCTATGTGTGATGCTCATCTCTCTAATGACTCAAGGGGAACTGTGGGCCTGGCAGATCTTTGTTGGTGGAGATTAAGTGGTTTGAAGCCCAGCCAGAGCTTCAATATTCCTTTTGCCAAAGGTCTTCCATCACTGAGATGATGGTGGAAATGCTCATTCCCCTTGGATGAGTCCATGCATGAGTTGTTCCTGTTATTGGAGGGCTGCAGGAAGCAAGCAGGACATTTGCTGCTTTTCCTGGAATTGTCTCTTCTCCCTTCCCGTCAAGATCATGGTTGGCTCATGACGTATTCAGCTCCAGAATCAAAACTCCTAGATAACTGGACTCTTGGGGGCTTTGCTTCTGTCTGGTCACTCCAGCCTCATGTCTGTCTGTCTCATGTACTTCACCTGGTCCCCATTCTTCACCAGAAGTTTCTCCCTGATGACGGTGGCCACGTAGGACCTTTCTTCTCCACTGCTGCTTTAGAAGCACAATTGTCCCTCAGATGGGTGCGAAGTGAGCAAGAGAGATGGTTACTCCACACCTCACCTTCTATTGTGTTTCCTTTGCAAGGGGTCCTACTTTCCCACCATGCCTGGTGACCTGCTTTTTGATGAGGACAACTGGAAAATTGGTGAGACAGAGAAGATCTGGAGTAAGTATTGGGGGAATCTCACTGCTCTTGTGTGTGTTGGGGACCCACCAGCAACTGATAGAGATTTGCCAAAGGATGGAGGGAAGGGATTAAAGACTCTGCAGGCCGTCTCCATCTTTCTGTGTAGAAGGTGGAGTTCATCCTTCCTGATCTCCACCTGCATGGAGCAACCTTGGGTCCTTTACGAGAAGTTCTGCGAGAGGTGTGTGGTGGGGCTGGATTCCAGGAAGTGGGGGCCAGACCTGTTCACTCTCTTGGGGAGTTTAGGGCCACGTTCCCATCATGAAGGTTGTTGTGGAGATGACAGAGTAACCATGTCCTCTTTCTAGGCTGTCAGTGTGGCTTGTGCTGGGTTGTCACCAACGTAAGTGCCTTCTTCTGGCTGGTGGTCTTTGCAGCTCTGTCTTCTTGTGCTTCTCATTGCATCTCTGTCACTTCCATGCATGGGATGGAGCTTCTCAGGTCTTCTTCTGGCTCTCAGAGGTGCCCATCCCCTTTGCACCATCTTGAAACACATCTTGGTCTCTTGGCTTGGCTGCTTCTTCTGGGTGGCTGCTATAGACTCTCATTCTGCTGCGCTGATCCTCTCCTAATGTGGACTCCAATGCCACCTCTGTGCCAGGTGGTCTTTTAGCTGCAAGAGCAACTGCAAGGCTCAGAAGCCAGCTGGGCTCTTCTCCAACTCAGGTGGGTTCATCTCCCAGCAAGGCACTGGGCTAAATGGAGCTGGGATTTGTGCCTCTCCATGGAATGCTTCCAGGTCTTGCTTTATTCTCATCTCCAGACCGACTCTTAGACATATCCTGTGGGCTGTAGGAGGAACCTGGTTGGTCTGGAGATGTTTGCTCACATCTCCTCCCACTTCTTGTTGGCTGTTGCAGTAAGCCCATGTGGAAAGCCATGCAGAAGCCATGGAAATCCTCTGGGTGCCCTCAGCTTTTGCTTGAAGCCTTTAGCACCTGGGTGGTCTCCCAATCTCCTCTCTCACCCCACCCTCACGTGTCCAAATGCAGTGTGGGCTTCCCATGGAAGTGAAGAAGTGCAAGTGTGGTGCTGCTGTTGGGGGAACCAAGCACAGACCTGAGAAAGGCTTTATGCAGAAGGAAGTGTAAGTCAACCTTTTGCAGTCCCAGAGGTCTTCACCTGCTGACCTAACCCTCCCACCCTTCCCCGAGCACAGGGGAAATAGCCAAAGCAAAGGTCTCTTTGTCCCATGGTCCCATGGTGAGACCTAGCACGAGATGTGGTGGGTGATTGCTCCTTCTTGACTCAGCTCTGAGGATACAACAGAGAAAGGCTACATCCTGGAGAGCCCCATCTCACGGATGACTGAGCCAGAGAGGTGCCTGTCTCCTGCCTGTGTGGCTCTGGCGAGAGCTCTGCTCCATTCCTCCCTCCTGCTGGGGATCTACATAGACAAACAGGTCAGTGAGCATCACCCTGTGAGGAGTGTTCAGCCCAGCTTGGGAGGAGACCTCCCTGAGAGCCTAAGGGAGGAACCTGCCACATCCTTCAGGCCATTCTGGACCTGATGAGAGAGAAACCAGAAGATGTGGAAAAATTCTTCTGGGGCCAGCTTAAGAAAGACTTGGAGTGCCTGGCAGAAGCGCTCAGCAGGAACATGGAGGATGCCCTGTTGACTGTGCACCTCTTTCTACAGCACCTATGCAAGGACAGCTCAGCAGGTAGGGGAAGCAATGGAGGTAACCAGAAGGCATGGGTGGTTGGGTTCTACCCAGGACCCATGGGAAGCAATGGGAGGTAACCAGAAGGCATGTGGTGGTTGGGTTCTACCCAGGACCAGTGTAATGTAATTGTTTCCTCCTTCCTGGGGTAGTCTTCATCCCAGGAAAGCAGTGAGAAGACATGGAGGACCATGAGAGCAGTGAGCTCATTCAGAGCACTTGGGCCAGAGCAGCTTGAGGGCATGAGCAAACTAGGAGATACAGACCAGTCAGTTTCACCTCTGTGCCTAGCAAAATCTTGGAGCAGATTCTCCTGGAAGGCATGCTAAGGCACATGAAAAATAACAAGGTGCTTGGTGACAGCCAGCATGGCTTCACTAGGGGGAAATCCTGCCTGACCGATTTGGTGGCCTTCTGTGATGGGGATACAGAACTGATGGACTGGGTAGAGCAGCTGATGTCATCTACCTTGACTTGTGCAAAGTGTTCAACACTGTCCCACATGACATCCTTGTCACTAAATTGGAGAGACATCAATTTGATAGGTGAACCACTCGGTCGACAAAGAACTGGCTGGATGGCCGCATTGAAAGAGTTGTGGTCAATGACTCAATGTCAGGCTGGAGACCAGTAATGAGTGGTGTCCCTCAGGGATCGGTGTTGGGACCGGTCTTGTTTAACATCTTTGTTGCTGATATGGACAGTGGGATTGAGTGCGCCCTCAGCAAGTTTGCCGATGACACCAAGCTGTGTGGTTCAGTTGATACGCTGGAGGGAAGGAATGCCATTCAGAGGGAGCTTGACACGCTTGTGAGGTGGGCTGATGCCAACCTCATGAAGTTTAACCATGCCAAGTGCAAGGTCCTACACCTGGGTGGGAGCAATCCCAGGCATAGCTACAGGTTGGGCAGAGAAGAGATTCAGAGCAGCCCTGCGGAGAAGGACTTGGGGGTGTTGGTTGATGAGAAACTGAACATGAGCCAGCTTCAGTGTGCGCTCGCAGCCCAGAAAGCCAACTGTATCCTGGGCTGCATCCAAAGAAGCATGACCAACAGGTCAAAGGAGGTGATCCTGCCCCTCTACTTTGCTCTCGTGAAACCTCACTTGGAGCATTGTGTGCAGTTCTGGTGTCCTCAACATAAAAAGGACATGAAGCTGTTGGAACAAGTCCAGAGAAGGGCCACGAGGATGACTGGGGGACTGGAGCACCTGCCATATGAAGACAGGCTGAGAAAGTTGGGGCTGTTCAGCCTGGAGAAGAAAAGGCTGCGTGATGGATTATTCATTAGGGACTCTAGTGACAGGAGAAGGGGTAACGGGTTAACAGTTAAACAGGGGAAGTTTAGATTGGGTATAAGGAAGAAATTCTTTCCTGTTAGGCTGGTGAGGCACTGGAATGGATTGTCCAGGGGCGTTGCGAATGCTCAATCGGTATCTGGCGGTGTTCAAGGCTAGGTTGGAAAGAGCCTTGGGTGACATGGTTTAGTGGGAGGTGTCTGTGCCCATGGCAGGGGGGTTGGAACTAGATGATCTTAAGGTCCTTTCTAACCCTAACTATTCTATGATTCTAAGGGGGTATCTGCATCATCCCTTCTGCTCTTGGCGCCTCTTATTTCTACATCAAGCTGCCAGGAAACCCAACAATGCTCTGGGCAGACCCCAGGCTCTACAGGGTAAAAACTCATGTGTTCCTCTGTGTCTTCTCTAGGTGATAGTACAGCTTTGGGCATCCTGCGTGAGAAGAAGGATCGGGAAGAATGGGAAACATTGTTCAAAGCCCTGGCTCAGCCCATCTTCCAGGTATGCCTGGTCCCAGCTGCTGCCGATATCGCATACCCAAAGCACCATTTCCCGATCATGTCCATGTCCGGACACATCTGTTGGGCTCAGTGCGGAAGAAAAGATTTATCACCTCTTTTATGAATGGGGACCTTGTCCTGGTGTGGTCTCCTGGTTCGCTCCAGCAGAGAGCTGGCTTCTTGGATGCTTTGATTCAGATCCTCCTTCGAAACTCATTGGTTTTCTTCCCTTGGAAAAACCACCTGTGGGTTTCTGCCTGGGCACTTGGGTTCTTGTCCCTTTGGAGACAAGTTCTCCCCATGTTGCCCACTTCTCCAGTGCCCTCATTGCTTTTCTTTGTTCTGAGACCCTGTGAATCCCCTCAGGCCTCTTGAGTAAGGAGAGGTGGCTCCTAATGACCCTTGGCTTCTTGCAGGAGCTGGAGCACAGCCTTAATTCTATCAGGGAGCAGAGGATGAATGAAGGTCCCCAGAGCTCCAGCCTCCTCCTGAAAATAGCTCGTGGCCAGACACTCCCTCTCCAAGACCTACCACAGCAGGGGCTGATCAACCAGCCCTGCATGTGGCAATTGGAGCAGAAGGTGACCATCCAGACCCTGATGCATTTCCTGCAGCTGGAAGGTGGAGAAGACACTGGAAGTCCATACCCGATTCTGCTGGAGCTCTTGTCAAAGGTTGGTTGCGGGAATATCCTCTCTCCACCAAAGTACATGCAATAGATTCAGCCTGGTTGGTGTCTATGGGTAACTATTTGCTCCACCCTGTGTTTCTTTGGAACATCCAAGCAAGACAAGTCTCCCTTGTCCAGATCCTCCTCCAGATGCCATGAGGGATCCTTGTCCCATGACTCACATGGCATTTTCTCTTCCAGCTTGAGAACATCCAACACGTCCAACACCTGCCTGACATCTTCCGGCTGCAGAATGCCCTGATCCACTTCTTCCAAAACAGCCATAAAGGGGAGCACTACACAGTCCAGCAGTTCCTGGACCAGCCCGAGCTGTCAGGTGTGCCATGGAATTCCATCACCCCTCAGCACCCAGATGCTCCACCGAGACGCTGCTGCCATAGTTGCTGTGGTGGAGGCAGTGCTAGAGCAGCCCATCAAGGCCTTGCTTTGAAGGACCAGTTTTGGAGGGGAGTTTAGGAGAAGGTGGAGGCCTAAGAAAATGAGATGGATCCAGGGTAGATCCTTTCTCCTGGGGCATGTGGGGCCTGGCGAGGTTCTTCTGCCATGTGCAAGGTGGCTGAGATGGGCTTTTCAGCTCTTAAGTTGTGGTGCCTGGTTGGTTGATGTCACACATGGTCTCATGGAGGCTTGAAGCTCAAGCAAAAATGGTTTGGGTGACACCTCCAGCCATGTTCCTGTTGAGAGACATTCTCTGAGCTGACCAGTCTCCTGGGAAGATGCCTTGAGGGGGCTGCTTTTTACTCTCTCTGTCTCCACAGAGGACCAGCGTTTGGCTTTCAGCAGAGCTATTGAGACCATCCAGAAGGTCTGGAGCAATATTAAGATGAACCCATCCATCTCAGGTACGTGGTCATCTCCAGGAGGTCCCTTCCCTCTTTCCTTGACTGTTTGGTCTGCTCTGAAGCCAAGCTGCTTTCTGCACCTAGCATTGCTAGCAAAGCTGCTGAGCTTGCTCCCCACCTGCTGAAAAAACATTAGAACCCCTCCTGAAGATACAAAACCTGATAAAGAACCCTTCCAAGACCTCATCAGGAGGGAGGATGTCCCCTGGCTCCATACAGTGGGTAGAAGACCTCCTTTTACAGGCATCACCGTCCTGCCAGACCTCTTGCCCAGTGACATCAGCACCAGCACTGCCATCCTCCAGCTCCTCCCAACCCAACCGTCCATCAGCCGCCTGGTGGCCAGGTTCCTCATCCAGCTGCAGAACAGCTGCGTGGACACAGCCGCGCGGGTCACCAAGGAGAGGCAGCGGTAATGTCCCAAGATGCTGACCCTGTGGCTTGTCCACCTCCTCCAGCAGGTCCTCAATGGCAGAGCAGGGCAAGGTGAAAGACCCAGCAACCAGGGCAACCATTCCTCTCCCAGGTCCATCTCCGCAGAAGAGGTGAAGCCCTCCTCTGTGCTGACTGTAACCAAGAGCGACCTGGTGACCATGGCACTGACCAACTTGCAGTATGAGATAGACAAAGACGGCACCAAAATGACCTACTTCGACTTCCAGATGCTGCAGAGGCAAGTGGTTCATCGCTTCATCAGTGGAAAGCCCATCATCAAAGCTCAGGTGAGCTCCATATCGGCCAAATCAGGTTTTCCCAGGCCAGCAGTAGCATTTGGGTCTGTTTCCAGCCTCTTCTGGAGTCAGCAGACTCAACTGAAGGCACTAGCAGATGCCTGCTGTGCGTCTGCCTCTGTTCCTTGGGTTTTGAAGGAGTGCCATGGCCAGAAGCTACATCTGAGGCAATGAAATGGTGGTCTGAAAGGCAGCGTGCAGGCCTACATCCCTGCTTTTGTTTTCTTTGAGAATAAGGGGGGTGTTGGTAGTGTTTAAAGAGCTTTGAGAGGTTTCTCCCAGGGTTATGTTCAGTCTGGAGAAGAGAAGCAGTGAGGAGACCTCAGAGAGGCTTCCAGTGTCTGATGGGACTCCAGAGATGCTGGGGATGGACTCTTCATTGGGGAATGTAGCAAAGGGACAAAGGGTGATAGGTTCAGACCAAAATAGGGGAAGTTCAGGTTAGATCTAAGGCAGAAGTTCTTCCCTGTGAGGGTGCTGAGGTGCTGGCACAGGGTGCCCAGAGAAGCTGTGGCTGCCCCATCCCTGGTAGTGTTCAAGGCCAGGCTGGACAGGGCTTGGAGCAAGCTGCTCTAGCAGAAGGTGTCCCTGCCCGTGGCAGGGGTTGGAGGTGGATGAGCTTTAAAGTCCTTTCCAACACAAACCATTCCATGATTCTATGATTCTATGTAGGGTCCAAAGTGGGCCTGAACCACCTTGAAGGAGCACATCTCTGTGGCTGTTGGACTCCATTCTGTGTAAATGAAGGCTGGAGGTGGTGGGAAAAGGGGACTTGAGGACACCAGAACCAGGCTTTCCTGTGCGTCGTCTCCTAAAGGTGGAGATCAGTCCACACTGGCTGTTCCCAGGACTTTTTTGGTCCCATCTTTCCAAGGGGGACTTTCTCCATCACCTTGCTTGGAAGTAAAGTGGGGTTGCAAGGTTTCCTGATCCTGCTCCATGGACATGCCTTCCTCCAGACATCAGGGATATCCCCTGATCTCCACAACTCCACAGTGTCCTCAGGAGGCCATGCAGAGCCCATGGGGACATCCCATGGGCTCACATCTGCCCAGCTGAGCTTCTCTACTGGCCCCCATTAAGTGACATGTTCATAACTATTTGTCCCAAACACTTTCCAGACAGCTCCATCCATTGCCCTCAACAACATGAGGACCCTCCAGGCCACCAAGATGAAAGTCAGGGACCAACTGCCCCAGGTAGGAAACAAGTGGCTGATTGTCTTCTCCTCCGTCCAACCCTGAGGTCTCCCTTCAATGCTATGGCATGATGGGGGCACAGAAAGTAGGCAGTTGTGTGGGAAGGACCAAGGCCAACTCAAGCAGGGGGTGGAGACCTGGCAGGACCCATTTGTCTTGCACAAGCTGGGAGGACATCACCCTTGTGGGTCATGTCCCCACTGTTCTTGCTGCCAGGAGATGCTCAGCATCAACCAGCAGAAGCACATCATGGAAGAGGCCCGCTCGGTCAATGCCCTCTCCAAGGTCTTGGACACCCTGAAGGTGGCTGCTGAGTTCCTGGCCATGACGGGTGGTGACCCGGAGTGCCCGCTGCCTGAGTACATTCGGCATGAGCTGAGGATGGATGCCGGGGCAAAGCAGCTCCAGGATGTGCCGGTGGGCAAGGGGTGAAGTTGGGTGGGAAGTGGGACCTTCACCCTTGCTCCCTCTTCATTGCCCATGGCTCCCACCACCTTCACATGCTGCAAGTGTCCGTGGAGGATTGAGGGTCTCATCCTCAAAGCAGAGGTCCTGGGCACCTGGGTGGGTTTCAAAGCTTGGCTTGGTGGTGCCAGGTTTTCATGCCACATCCATCAACCCCTCGGGGACACCTCATGCATTGCAGATGGCCTGGGACATCTCTGTGGGGGACACCAGTGATGTGAGCCAAGGGGTAGTAGATGGGCCTGCCTGGGGGCTTGACCTGTGTGGTTGAGGTGCAGCTACTGAGGGATATTGGTGGCCCAACGCATGGTCCTCCAGGACACGCTGGAGTCAGTTGAATGTGCATGGGACCTTCCAAGGAGCTGAGGGGCTGTTTCTCCATCACACTCCTTCAGGTGGTGCCCAACACCCGGCTGAAGCATATCCTGTCACTGTGGAAGGTCCTGGCAGCTCGCAGGTCCATGCTGTTGGTACAGATGAACCAGGTGAGGGAGATGAGATTGGGTTTGGGGGGGGGTTTTGCTCCCTTGGGAAGAGAAAGGAGCCTTATGGTGCTGCAGCCATTTGATATCCCCATCTCATCCCTCTCCTGGGTTAAATCAAGGTCTCTGGCCCATCCTGCAGATAATTTACTCCCTTGGGTACTTCCAAGACTGGCTTATGTCTTGGAAGCTCTTTGGTGGTCCTGATAGGAGGTTTCACACAAGGACACAAGAGGGTTGTGGTTCTCATTTCTTCATGAGAAGTCACCTCGGGGGGGGGGGGGGGGGGATGTGATGTGCTGGAGTCTCCTCTTTGCTGAAGGTTGGTGGTCCTGGCAGGATCCCTTCTGCCTGATGCCCAAAGAGTTCCAAGAGAAGCTGGGTAAAATGGAGGAAAAAGCCCTGTCCTCTGCACTGGCCAACACCAACCTCGACCTCTTCCTCATTGAGCTGCATGAGATGATCACAGTGGCACTGTCCATCTTCCAGCCACAAGATGAGTAAGTCCAGGTCGTATCCTGGGACAGGCAGAGCAGTGGAGCAGTGGCACAAGTCACAGCTTCCTGGTGGGGTTCGGCTGGGGAGAGATCTCTGAAGGTCTCTGGTCCAAGTCCTGCTCCATACAGGTTACTCAGGGTCTCATCTGGTGAATCTCCATCTTTGGAGATGCTTGTCCTGGGGGTTAGCCCAAGGTGGCACCACCGCTGATGGAAAGGAGTTTTTCTCATGTCCAGTCATCTGCTGCCTTGTTGGCTTCTGATGCCACCAGAGACACTCAAGGGCAGCCTCTAGTATGAGGTGTTGGCCACCAGTGACCAGCGACAGTTGGCCACCATTGAGAGCCACCGTTGACCAGCGACCTTGGCCACCTTGAGAGCCACTACTGAACAGCAACCCTGGCTACCACTGAGAGCCACCACTGACCAGCGACCTCGGACACCACTGAGAGCCACCATTGACAAGCAACCTTGGCCACCATTGAGAGCCACCGTTGACCAGCATACTTGGCCAGCACTGAGAGCCACCATTGACCAGCATCCTTGGCCACCATTGAGAGCCTCCACTGACCAGAGACCTTGGCCAAGACAGTGCTAATGGTTGACACCCATTGCTGTCCATGGCTGACTGCTGGGGGTTGTGGAACATCCACTCCATCTGCACCCACCCACTCACCCTTCTGCTTTGCCTCCCTCCACAGGCTGAAGTTTGCCTTCACGTTCTTCCTGGAAGACAACCAAGTCCCTGCCAGCTCAGTTTGCAGCCTCACGGATGCCCTGGACCCTGACATTCCCATCAAGAACATCCTCTCTGTCTGGAGGACAGCTGCAAGGACCAGCCAGGCCAATGTCCCTGCCTACAGCCAGAAGGGGCCAGCCCAAGGAAGTCGTTAGATGGAAACATCTGCCCCAGCTCTGGGGGCAATACATGAGCCACATGTGGGCTCTTGGAGCAGCTTGAGCCTCCGAGCCCCTGAAATCCTGCTCCCCAAGGCCTGAACCCAGGTGGGAAGCTCCCACCTGGACCCACCACTGCCCCTCAGAGACCTCAGGCATCCCTGTCCCTCCCACCCTGCTGAGCCACATGGAGAGCATCCCCATGGACACATCACCAGCTTCAATACCTCTGTCTTCAGTTAGCCAACTCTACCCCCTAAAACCCCCATATGGGTGCCTGAGAAGTTGTAGTCCCTTCTACGGCCCCAGTGCTGGCCAGTGGGTACATCTGTGCCTCCCCATGCTCATCATCAGTGGCCTCTGTCCTGCCTTGTTCTTCTCCTTTCTGTCATCATTAAATGCTCAAGGACCCATCTTGGTTTCTTGTTGTTCCTGAAATGGTGGTGGAGGGAACCTGGCTGGTGTCATGGGCACAACCAGACCATCTCAGGGGCTACTGTGGGGCTCAAAGGCCCTCCAGACCTGGCAAGACCTTCAGTGGTCACAGGTGGCCGGGGACAGGAAAGACCAGAGGTATCTCCCAATATACCCCAGTGCCTTTAAGGGTTTGACCCATGTAGTGAGATCCTTCTCTCCGTCCTTCTGGAGGAGGTCCATGCCCAAACCTTCATCCTGTCCACACCTTCCCTGCAGGCATTGGTGAGACCTCCCAAGTATCTTCTCCAGGCTGGAGCATCACAGCTCCCTCAGCCTCTCCTAGGAGGGATGCTCCAGTCTCCTCATCATCTTGGTGGCCCTTCTCTAAGTCGAGTCTAAAGCTCTCCATAAAGGTTTGGCCAAATTGTTGCTGAAGACCACTAATCCCTTTTGGTTGGATGAATCCAATCAGCTCCCAACAGACCCAGCTTCTCAAATCATGGAACCCAAACTTTGAGTATGGCCCCAGCCATAGAGTCAGATGTTCCAGTCCCGTCACCACCTTCCCTGGTCTCTCCCCACTGTGGCCATGTCTCTTATACTGGCAGACCAGCACTGGATCCAGCCCTACAGGTGGGCCTCATCAGAAGAGAAGTGAAGGATCCCTCCCTCCACCATAAGCTCGTGGTTCGTGGTCAACCTGATGTCACGAGGACCTTTTCTACCAAGGTGCTTTCCAGGCTGGTGTTCCTATAGTGTCTGGTGCCAGGGAATGTCCCTCCCCAGGGGCAGGACTTTGGAACCCCATGAGGTTCCTTTCAGCCCATTTCTCCAGCCCATTGAGGTTCCTCTGGGTGGAAGTGCTTTGGCTTCTCAGCTGATTCTCCCACTTTGGTGGCACCTGGAATGTGCTGATCTTCAGCCAGTTGACAACCCAGCTCGCTGCTCACCCACGTGTCACACATGTCAAATGTGTCACATATCACACGTGTCACAAGTGTGTCACACACACATGTGAAACACTTGTTACACATACAGGTTACACACATCACACACGTTACACACATCACACATGCGTCACATCACACGTGTCACACATGTGTCACACATGCATTACACATATGTCACGCACATCAAACACCTCACACACACATCAAACACTTGTTACGCATCACGCACATCACACACATGTCACACACAGGTCACACATCACACACGTCGTACAGGTCACATGTCGCACACACGACACGTGTCACAAATGACACTAGTGTCACGCATCACATACGTGTCACACAGTATCACAGTATGCTAGAGATTGAAAGGGACCTCGAAAGATCATCTAGTCCAATTCCCCTGCCGGAGCAGGAACACCTAGATAATGTTACACAGGAATGTGTCCAGGCGAGTTTTGAATGTCTCCAGGGAAGGAGACTCCACAACCTCCCTGGGCAGCCTGTTCCAGTGTTCTGTCACCCTCACTGAGAAGAAGTTTCTTCTCAAGTTTAAGTGGAACCTCTTGTGTTCCAGTTTGTACCCATTACCCCTTGTCCTATCATTGCCACTGAGTAGAGCCTGGCTCCATCCTCGTGACACTCCCTCTTTATATATTTATAGACACTTATAAGGTCACACCTCAGTCTCCTCTTCTCCAAACTATAGAGACCCAGCTCCCTCAGTCTTTCCTCATAAGGGAGATGCTCCACTCCCTTAATCATCTTAGTTGCCCTGTGCTGGACTCTCTCCAGCAGCTCCCTGCCCAGGATGCCATTGGCCTTCTTGGCCACAAGGGCACAGTGTTGGCTCATGGTCATCCTGTCGTCCACTAGGACCCCCAGGTCCCTCTCCCCTACACTGCTCTCTAACAGGTTGTTTCCCAACCTATACTGGAACCTGGGGTTGTTCCTGCCCAGATGCAGGACTCTACACTTTCCCTTGTTATATTTCATCAAGTTATTCCCTGCCCAACTCTCCAGCCTGTCCAGGTCTCGCTGGATGGCAGCACAGCCTTCTGGCGTGTCAGCCACTCCTCCCAGCTTAGTGTCATCAGCAAACTTGCTGATAGTACACTCAATTCCCTCATCTAAATCGTTGATGAATATATTAAATAATACCGGTCCCAGTACTGACCTTTGAGGCACTCCACTAGTTACAGGCCTCCAACTAGACTCAGCCCCATAGACTACAACTCTCTGGCTTCTCTCCTTCAGCCAGTTCGCAGTCCACCTCACTACCTGATCATCCAGACCACACTTCCTCAATTTAGCTGTGAGGATGCTGTGGGAGACTGTGTCAAATGCTTTGCTGAAGTCAAGGTAGACCACATCCACCGCTCTGCCATCATCCATCCACCGTGTTATTTCCTCATAAAAGGCTAAGAGATTGATCAAGCATGATTTCCCCCTGGTGAAGCCATGTTGACTGCCCCTCATAATCCTCTTATCCTTGATATGCCTTAAGATGGCACCAAGGATAAGGTGTTCTATCAATTTCCCAGGGATGGAGGTGAGGCTGACCTGTCTATAGTTACCCGGGTCCTCCTTCTTGCCCTTTTTGAAGACTGGAGTGACATTTGCTTTCCTCCAGTCCTCAGGCACCTCTCCCGTCTCCCAAGACTTGGTAAAGATGATGGAGAGTGGTCTAGCAATGACTTCCGCCAGTTCCCTCAGCACCCGCAGGTGCATCCCGTCTGGACCAATGGATTTATGGATGTCCAGATTGCTCAACTGGTCTCTAACCCATTCCTCATCGGCTCAGGCAAACTGCTCCATTGACCTGACTTCATCTAAGGTCTCAGGGGTACAGGGCTCTTCAGGACTGCCTGCAGCAGAGTAGACAGAGACAAAGAAGGCATTCAGTAACTCCGCCATCTCTGTATCTTCTGTCACCAGGGCACCCATCCCGTTCATCAGTGGGCCTACATTGCCTCTGGTGTTAGTTTTATCTGCCATGTATTTGAAAAAGCTCTTTTTGCTGTCCTTGACCCTTCTCACCAGGTTTA